CAGGCAGTTCTGCTCCCAACCCTCACACTGCACCAGGATTCTTAGGACCAAAGGAATATTTTGTTTGTTTGTTTGTTTTTGGTGACACAGTCTTCCTTCAGTTAACAGGGAAGAGACAAGAATACGGCCTATCTCAAAATACCTCATCACCAAACAGGTGCCAAGAACTGGCAGGTGACAGATTCAAGTGATTACTTCAATACACACACTTCTTAAAAGAAGAGGAGATTTAAAACTTCATTAACTCAGGCTTCCCTAAATCTAATTAGATTTTACTCAAGCTAGGCTGAAGCTTACTTTTGTATCTAGGAAAAGTAGAACCAACTTACTTAGAATAAACTTTTCAAGCTATTTGGGAATAAAAAGGTTAGTTACAAACAGCATCATTGTAATGTAAATTCAGGCCAACCTAGGGTTGGTGGGGCTTTGATATGCTAATCACAAATAATTCTGATCCACTCATTCAATAGTGCCCTTGGATTCCAGTTTCAGCATATAAGATACCTTCTCCACTCCAGGGAGACAGGTTCTAGAGTTCTCTAACAGGGCTTTTTGTTTACAGGCCTAAAATGCTTTGACCCTAGGTTAGCAGTAACAACTGAGGAAAAGCATGTTCACCAGACCTAAGGAAGCCATTCTACCCTTATTGGATTTTGTCACAACTCCCAGATAATGCCTGAAACCACAGATCATTAATACGGAAACCCAGAGGTGGGAGCCTGAATATCTGGAAATAATAAAATAGCATTTCTTAAAAACAACCCATAAATCAAACAGGAAGGACATTAGGTGGCACAGGGCTAGAGTCCTTGGCCTAGAATCAGGAAGACTCATCTTCCTGAGTTTAAATCTGGCCTCAGACACTTATCAGCTGGGTGACCCTGGGCAAGTCACTGAATCCTGTTTGCCTCAGTTTCCTCATCTGTAAAATGAGCTGGAGAATGAAATGCCAAACCACTCCAGTATCTCTGCCAAGAAAACCCCAAATGACATCAGAAAGAGTTGGACACAACTGAAACAACTGAACAACAAAGAATTTAAACAGGCCTTTCCAAATTAGGGAGGTCTCATTGGACATACTTTTCAGCAAGTCTGATACTGGATTCCTAGCCAGATGGATGTCTGTCCTGGGCTTAGAGAGTTCTCCAGGGAAGTATATTTCCCAAAAGCTTGTTCTAAAAGTCCAACAATGTTTACTGGTGGAACATTTTTATATCTAAATCCTTATTTCTTACCTGGCTGTATTACTCTGGGACATCTCTGATCTTTCTGCCATTCCCCAGGAAGACCACTATTGGGAAAACCTCATCCCCTTGCAAGATGATCCCATCAGCCTCAGAACTCCCCCTCATCAGCACCCTCTGCCTCTCTGGAGGATGGAGCCACAAATGCCCAAACCTCCATTTAGGGAGGGAACTCAGCTCAGAATACCTTCTCATTTCTCAGCTGGGACCTCTGTGATTCCTTCATTTCTCTCTGATTTCTCCATCATGCCCTGGAGCTGTCAGTTCCTAGAGTACAGAGACTGTCTTTTTTCCATTATTTCTATCCCCAGTGCTTTAGCCCAGTGCCTTGCACACAGTAGGCATTGAATAAATGTTTGATTATTATTGATTATTGACTGTATCTTTTCTGCTGTGATATAACCTACTTTTTCCTGTTTAATTTTTGGTAGAAATAACTATTTCACTTTCTTTAGAAAAGTAACCTATGTTTATATGGGAGAAGTTGTCCCCTTCCCTAGGCTAAGTGACAGTTCCCTCAGCCTTTCCTTCCTAAAGCCTATTTCATGCCTATTCCTGAGGTTTTCTGGAGACGGTGTCTGATATCAGAAAACTCAAATGGACACTTTATACATCCTCTGAACCACTGTTTTCAGGCAAACTGGGCTACCATCAGAGGACTAGCAATCCACTACAAATGGCAAAGGGACCTTCAAGGCCTCCAGCCAATACCCTTTCTTATTCAATCTTTTAATCTTTTCTTGTTATTCTCACTGGAATCTCTTCAGATTCTCTCCATCTTGCTCAAGCTGTGGTGCCCCAAACTGAGCATCCAGCTTTAACAAAAACTAACACTTAGAGAGGTACCTGGCACAAAGCATGCTGTGGGCTGGGGTGGAGCATGTGTGAATGAATGAATGAATGAATGAATGAATGAATGAATGAATGAACTCGATCCATTCAATTAAGAGTATAGAGAGAGGATTATCTGGGATGGTTAGCTCCACTGGGTCAAATATGATACTGAAGTTGAAATAAAGGGATCCATGTCCATCTAATGGGAACATTAAAAACAGCAAAACAAAAAGACCCCTGTTCTTTGGTCATGTACATCTCAGCCCAAGTCACCCAAGGCATTCCTCGGGATGTTGATTCCTAGGGGTGGCACCAGAAAGAACATCCCTCACCCAAGAGGAGAACATCCTTCTCTGGTATATGCCCCTTATAACCCTTCCTTTATAAAACAGGACTCTCTAGCACACAGTGCTCACCCCAAGAGTAAGTTAAGTCCTTATGTATGTTTACACACTCAGAATTGGATGGAAAACCAACAGATTTAATCCAGCTTGCACTTCACCAAAAATCCCCTCTGCAATATCTCCCACATGTGGCCATCCAGGCCTCAGGTGAAGATCTCCAATGAGGGAGATGCCTAACACTTCAACACCCTCCTCCAGGCAGCTGCTTTTGAAATTCCCTATCACAAATATATCTACATCAAATATATCAATATATCTATATCTCTATGTCTACACCTATATGTCACAAATATCCTTGTCACAGAAATACCACAAAGGAACCTGTTCTGACACCAATCCCAGAAGCCTTACTAAAAGTCACATCCTTCATCCTCTCGATCACCACTCCAATATCTTCCCACCTTGGTAGATACCTCCACCCTTGAGACTCTTCCTCTGATTGGTAAGTGTTTAACTAGAACTGCCACTTTCAGGAAGGACTCAGGATGGCTAGCCATTATCCTCTTCCTCTCCTAACTTTGCTCCTCAATCTCTAGACTTCTCCACTTTGCCCCTACATGAATACCACTATTTGCCACCCCCCCCACACACACTTTTCAGTTCCCTTTTATGTACTATCTTTCCTCATTAGCACACAAGCTCCTTGACTGCAGGGGGCTGCCTTTCTTTTTGTTTTGTTTTGTTTTTGTTTGTTTGTTTGTTTTTGGTCAGGCAATTGAGGTTAAGTGATTTGCCCAGGGTCACACAGCTAGTGAGTATCAAGTGTCTAAGGCTAGATTTGAACTCAGGTCCTCCTGACTCCGCGGCCAAAGCCATGGGACACCCAGCTGCCCTGTTGCCTTTCTTTTTGCTTTTATTTGTATTCCCAGTGCTTTGCATAGTGTCTAGCACATAGTAAATACATGTAAATATATAAATTAATATAAGCTTCATCTTGGAAAAGTCCTTCCAGATCCAAGAATCTCCTATTATAACCCCAGAAAATTTATTTTATGCATTTAAAAACATTATTCTGAGAAGGCACCTAAAGGCTTCACCAGATTGTCACAATCCAAAAAAACTTTAAAAACTGGTGCTTTAAAAACAAACGTGTAGAGGCAGCTAGGTGGCGCGGTGAATAGAGCACCGGCCCTGGATTCAGGAGGACCTGAGTTCAAATCCAACCTTAGACATATAACACTTACTAGCTGTGTGACCCTGGGCAGGTCACTTACGTCCCACTGCCAGACCAAAAAACAAAACAAAACAAATGTGTGCTCTCATCAGCTTCTATCTAGTTCAACAAAATCACACATATCCCTGTCAAATAGTAAGCATGCAGTAAATACTCAATCTATCTATGTATCCATCTATCTATCTATCTATCTATCTATCTATCTATCTATCTATCTATTCATCTATCTATCTATCTATCTATCTATCTATCTATCTATCTATCTATCTATCTATCTATCTATCTATCTATCTTCCATACTAGTGGAAATCCTTACTCATGGGATACCATCCCCCAACATAATGGACACCTTAGCCCTTGGCAGGTTTCCTTACTCCTCAACCAAGTATATACATCTATCTGGGACATCCCCTATAACATGTCTCCTACTTCCAAGTACTGGCCCTTTGGAATTCCATACTCAACTTCTTTCCATCTTCCAGAAATTTTTAATATAAATGAAATCAGGTTAAGAAAAACATCAAGGGAAACCTACGAGTGGATAGAATGCCTGATGGGTTCTTTTCAAGGATGGGGAGAAGAAGCCCCATCTCCTTTACTTTGGTGCTGGTGGACTACAAAATCCTCAGGTCTTCTTCAAGCCACTTGTCTCTTTTCCTTCCTTAGATGCTGCCTCCATCTTATGATGAAAAATGTTATCCAGCTCCAGAGAAAAAACTGATAGAGTCAATGCAGATGGAAGCATACATCTTTAACTTTATTTTTTGTTTGTTTTTGGTCTGTGTTTTCTTTCACAACATGACCAATATGGAAATATTTTACATGACTGCACATGTATAACCTATGTCAAATTGTTTCCCTTCTTGATGAGGGGGGAGGAGGGGAGGGAAGAAGGCAGGAAGAGAATCTGGAATGCAAAGTTTTAAGGAAGGAATGTTTAAAATTGTTTTTATACATAATTGGGGAAAAATAAAATATCAAATTTAAAAAAAAAAAGATGGTACCTCCATGACTCACTTCCCAGCCACTCCCAAAGTCCCTGGCCTTGGGGTGATGGCCCCAATTCACCGTCCCCTGAGAATAGCTTTATCATCCCAGATGTTCCAGGCATCCTTTGTTAGACTACACAGCCTACCACATTAAAGGAACCAGATTAAAAACACAATCTAGGAAAATACTTGGTTACAAAGTCAGAGAGCAAGGAGAGTATGCCACAAAAACAAAAGGTTCAAAGAGAAGCAAATCATCGGGATAGAGTCCCTTAGCAACCGGGAAAAGCCCGGAGAGAGAAATGAAAGGCACACCACTGGCACAAAAAGAGGCACAGGATTTTTCTTTAATTACCTTCTGACTTAGGACTAGGAGTAGATGCAGGAAACTGGTAGGTAGGAGAGTAAGGATTGTCTTCTGTAGCAGAGAAAAGCAGCGGATTTTTGAGATTACCCACTAAGAAGGAGAGAGACTGACAATCCCCCTGTTGGCTGTTTCAAGTAACTTTGTTATCTCTTTTAGTGTTATTAGAACACATGGGCATCACACTTAAAAACAGGTTAAGAAGTTAGAAAGGATTCAGTCATCTTAGAGATCATATCATGCAGATGAGTGAAATGAAATTTTTTGTCAACAGAAAAAGACTAAAAAAAAAATCAATTCTAAATGCCAAATCTTATTTCTAAAAATAATAAATAAATAAATAAAGCCCAGAACTCTAAGAATTAATATAAGGAGCAGCAAACAGATAAGCTTATGTCTAAGCTTATGGTACCTTCAGGTTTTTGCTGGATTTCAGGAAGTTCAGGGAATTTGTAGGTGGGGAAATAAGGGTTTTCTTCAGGAGTGTCTACAGAGAGTTGCAAGTTTTAGAAAAAGAATAGAGGAAGAAAATGAGCGGCTGAGAATCCATATGTATACAGTTCAGAAAGATTCCTAGAATTGAGGAACATACTGTATTTCAGTTAGTAAGAGCCGAAGAATCCTAAGTGCTCTTGGGGGAAAAATATTCAGTCCATTTGTCTGAATTATGGATATGCCCAAAGAGATGGAGAGAGAAATTCCAGCTCCCATTATTAGCCAAGCACCATTTCTAGCTTTTGCTGCTTCTCTAGGTTTCAAAATATTACCCCAAGTAAATGATAGGTAATGAAAGGGTTTAACATACAAACATACTTACATCATAGCATATTTCACAAAGACATTCACTTTATAAATAAGGCAAATGACCAGATTCCCAACTTGCCAAAGCTTGGATAGATCACTATTGCCTAGGGCAGAGAGGGTGCTTTGTTCAGAGCCTCTCATTTTGGGCTGAGTTAACAGCACAGGGAATCAAAGAATCCCATTGGGATGGGTGCACTGCCATCCAACACTCCATGGATTTCGTGCCCCTGTGATTCTGCATCTGGGCAGTGGCACTGCCAGGATGTAAGCAGAGATGTAAGTTAGGACTGAAGCCAAGAGGCCATGACCACACCCACTGGTCTGCCTAAAGTGGCAGTGCCACTGGACTAGAAGTCCAGGGAACAAAAAGTGACTTTGCTAATTGCTAAGGGATCTATTTACTTACACGATCAATTCTCATGAACGGGCATCCTGATAGGTAGAAATAGAGGGTGTCCCAAAAGTCTTAGTGCTGTTTAAAGCTTATCGAAGCTTAAAACTGCAGCAAGACTTTTGGGACATCCTATATAGCAAAATTAAAGTACACTTGAGTTTGCTTTTAATATTGTATTTGCTAGTTGTTAATACAGTGGCTCTCATAAGCAGATTATTTCAAGGTCGTACAGAAAATATTAATTTGAGATCTAGTTCTTATATGCACTATCTACAGAAAAGCTTACTTGGTGTCCTACAACGCTGTCACTGTCAGAGGTACGGACTTGACTTAGCTACATGGAGGAGGAATGTAGGACGGCCAGCCTTTGGAAGAACCCACATTCCCTCCCACTGGGAAAGAAAAAGCATTCCAGCCAGTCATCTTTTTAAGAACACATGAGAAAATATGGCAAAGATTTGGAAAGGTTCTGCATATGGCACCATGCTGGGGTTCTCTCAGCAGGCTGGCTATCTATCAGTCAGCATTTCAGGGTGTGATTAGAGTTGGAAGTGGACCTTCTCCAACTGGAGCGTGCTCCCAGTGTGAGCGAGTGTATTCTGGTGTGGGAACTCAAGTCTGGTTCTGGAGGCAATTTGCCAAGAACCATTGTCCAGCCTGAGATAATTATAATTAAGAATACTGGTGGCAATTATACCAACTTTCATCTGTATCATGCTTTCTGAAGCACTTGGTCACAAATTCAAACATAGGTTCCCCAAGAGGGACAGTGGGCAGCATACTAGACTCGGAGTAAATAAGAATGGGGGTTCAAAATCCCTAACTTTGTGAATCCAGGTAACTCACTTAACCTCTCTGAGCCTCAGTTTCCCCATCTGAAAAGAAGGGTTATGATACTGAGTGTCCCAAAAGTCTTAGTGCAGTGTTAAGGTATTAAAACTTAAAATTGCATTAAGGTTTTGGGGACACTTGGTCCTTGCAGTGCTTACCTCCCAGGGTTATTGTGAGGCTCAAACAAGAGGCCAAAGCACTTGGTATGCTTTAAAACCCCATATGAATATGAATAGGGACTAGACCTATGATTTCATTAACATAGGGAATTCCAGATAAAGGAAATTTTCTCTACCAAAGCAGTTTGGTATCTCCTCTGCCATTTATAGTCATCAGTGAATGTCTAAGAACATCAGATGAATTGTCTGAAGGTCACACAGTCAAATATAATATTTGTTCGTGTCAAGGCAACACTTGAACTCAGATCTTCCTGGCTCCAAGGTCAGCTCTCTAAGCCATCATATTATATTGTCTCAAACTATATAAATGATGGTTATTATTATTATTGTCATTGTTGAGTAACTAGGATAGGAAACAGAGAAGTTAAACACCTCTGCTTTAGTGACTGAGCCAGGACAAAAACCAAGGTATTGTTTCCCCACTTCTATCCCCATGGCCATCTCTGGCTGACACACTGGAAGAGCACACAGAACAGGAGGTCACAGAGCTTAGCTTCCCACCACCAGGTGTGTGTCGGAGGCTGGTGCATAAGCTTAGACTTTGCTCATCAAAACCTGCATCCCACAAGTGACTAAGAAAAAGGACTTTACTGCAGAACTCCAAACTTCAAGTCTGAGGCAGTTACACGAATGACCTTTCTCTCCAGCTCTTTGCGATGTTGGAATGCACCATGGCAAAGAGATGCTTAACACAGCACCTACTTCTAGCCTCTGGACAAATGCGAGTCTAAACCCTAATCATTACAATCATAATGTTGACAGAGAGATTCACCAAATTAAAACCAATACCTCTGTTAAGTTTGTGGATCTGTTTGAACATCGTCTTATACCAGTCTTTGGATCTCTCAGTGTTCTAGATGAAAAAAAAGAAAGAAAGAAAAAAAGAAATAATATAATCAAAATCTTATGGCTAGAACTTTTTTGATTATTACAGAAATAAAAACCACATAGGCTACTACAAAGTAAGCTGAAATATGTGATGACAAAGTCAAATCCATCTAAATTGCTTTTCTTAGCTTGATGATTTACAGTTAGACCTCTATTTTGATTTATTTTTTTATCTCGGATTTTCAATAGAAACTAAAATATCATTCACAAAAAGGTAAAACTCTTCCTTGTCAATGCTTATACCTTTAATTTCTTTCTTGTCTTATTGCTATAGCTACATTTCTAGATCTATGATTGTTAAGGAATGTTAAGGGGTCCCTTGAACTTGTCTTTTTGAGTTGCCATATTTTTCATAAACACTGCACTCAGAGCATGCAGGAGACCCTGTTGTGTCAAGGAAGAAGCCCCGTGTTAATCATAACAGCAATAATAGCTCATATTTATACAGTACTTTAAGGCTGTTCAAAGCACTTTACAAATATTGTCTCATTTTATCCTTCCAACAATCCTGGGAGGTAGCTCCTATTATTCCCTACATTTCACAATTAAGGAGACTGAGGCAGACAGAGGTTGAATGAATTTCCTTGGGTCACATGGTTAGTAAGTATGAGTCAATTCTTTGTCACTCCAAATCCAGAAGTCTATTTACTGAACCACAATTAACATCAACACTACCCCCAAAAACCAAAGTTAGCACTAGAGCAAGATATCATGGAGAATAAGCTCCCAAAAGGAAAAGAAGAACAATTAGGGGTCAGCATGATAGTTGTCTCTTGACAGACTGCAGTGTGGAAGAGCAATGACTCTTCTTCTATTTAGCACAAGAAGGAGGATCTAAGAATTATGGGGTAGCAACTATTGTTCACAGGCACATTTAAACCTGGTACCAAGAAAAACTTCCTAACAATTTGGTGTCACTATACGTATCCATCTATCTGGGGAAATTCTTCCAATTCCATGAATCCTTCCTTGATCGTCCCAGTCAAAATTTATCATTTTTCTTCCTTAGAACTTTCAGAATATTTTTTATTCTGAATACTCCCTGTTGTATATACTCAATACATCCTATTTTTGTCTTATGATTTACTGTTTCTTATCTCCTCCAAGAGACTGTAAACAACTTAAGACAATTCTTATTTATCTTTTTCTCTCCTTATCACCTAGCAAAGAGATGCTATGTCAGGGATGGGGAACCTAAAGTCTTGAGACCACATGTGGTCTTTGGGGATTTGTTCTGCAACGTTTGGATTCAGTCAAAGGGCTGCATTTGAAGACTTAGAGGGCCACATGTGGCCTCAAGGCCGCAGGCTCCCCACCCTTGTTGCTGTACACAGAAGGTGTTTAACAAATGTTTGCTAAATAAAGAAACTCAAAAGATAAAAGGATTCTAGATGTATTCTATGTTTATGGTTGGGTCATTATAGTTTATAAACAAGAAGACATGGAAATAATCATTATGGACCATTTTGTGATTGGCCATGAAACCATACTGAAGGTCTTCTTAATTATCCTTCCTGTCACACATACCACATACATATAGGCAGATAGATAAATGTAAAATATACATGGGTGTGTGTGTGTGTGTGTGTGTGTGTGTGAGTATGTGTGTAAAACTGGTGACATACATATTGTACTGTTTGTTTTAAGACTTGGCTTAATAATGGGTCTCAGAGAGGTGCTCATACCCTTAGTGGAATGCCCACTTCATCCATGGAACCATCACTTAGGCACTGAGGGCTCTTAACTAGTCTTCTACTTTCATCCTTTACTGTTTTATCTGGTCGTGTGCTAGGCAGAACAACTTTCTCCCACGTTGGCGCTGAGTCTACCTTCTCTTCATTCCTTCTCTCTGGTGTGGGATCTGGAATTGAAGGGGAATTGTATTATTACTCTCTTTATCATAAATGCTTCCTAATACCTGGCCTCAGTGATAAGTGAGGTCTATGGAGGCTGAACAACTTATTCTAGAACTTTTGAAATGAGATAGGATATGGTGCAACATTGATGCCTAAATATTTATATTCTTGTAGTTCTTAGTTTAACTTATTTTATCTAGAGGTTGAAGAACTAGATACTCATAGAAGCTGGACATACAACCATTTCTACTGATTACACAGTCATAATTAATTTCCTTATGACCTTCAATAAGCTTGACTGTTTGGTTCTCAAACACACTCTTAATCACTGACATTTTAACTTGTAAAGGGATTTCCTTAAGCATATTGCAAGGATGTCAGCTAAAATTTGGGACAAATATTTAACCTCACTCATGTCAACCAAGAGAGGTGTTTCTGGTCCATGGATTATGGTGTATGTGAAAACAGCCTGCAAACTAGAGTGTTATGCAAATGTGAAGATTTAAAATAAGTAGTGGAAGGAACACTGGATTTGGAATCAGAGGGCCTGGGTTTGAATCGTGGCTTCAGAGCACTTATATGATCTTTAACCAAGTTGCTTAACCTCCCTACACCTCACTTGTAACTGAGGGCAGAAACAGAAACAACAGGAGTGGAAGCTACAAGGGGGCAGATTTTGGCTTGATGTAAGAAACATCTTGCTAACAGGCTGAGATGTCTGACGTGCAATCAGTTACCTGCAGAGAGAGTAGGTTTCCCCTGCACTAGAGTACCATGCTGCCAAGCCTGAAGGACCACTTCTCAGTGAAACTGTAGAGATTTCTATTCAGGTATAGATTGGACTATAAATCTTCTGATGTTCTGTCCAACACTGTGATTCTATGGGGAATGTGAAGAGCTAGTGAAAGCTCTACCTCTGACCTTCACGCTGCAATAACGAGCATTCTCTTCTCCCAGGGTAGGGTGTCTAAAAGTTCACACCTGGAAACATGTGGCTTCTTGTGAAATTTAAAATTTTTAAAATTGGGGCAGCTAGGTGGTACAGTGGATAAAGCACCAGCCCTGGAGTCAGGAGAACCTGAGTTCAAATCTGGCCTCAGACACATAACACTCACTAGCTGTGTGACTCTGGACAAGTCACTTAGTCCCAATTGCCTCACTCACTCAATAAACAGATAAATAAAATTTCTAAAATTTGAAATGTAAAATTCTCATCACATAACCTGCTTGTAAAAGTCTTACTTTGACAGCAAAACATTTTGGGAAATGAATAAAAAAAATAGTCACATATGGACAGAGCTATAGCCAGTAATTCTAGCACACAAGACAAGCTTCACAAAACATGGCAGTGGCAAGCAGCAAGCAGCACTTTTTAGGAAGCATCGTGAACCATGCTCAAATCAGTTTTTTAAGACAGACTCAGTCTGACGTCTTGAGGCCACTAAGGGTGAGGCTGACATCTGAGAGAGTATGACCAGGGAAAGGAATCATTTGGGAGAAAGCTAGTTTCTTATCTTATTTCCTATCTTAATTATTCTTGCTAAAGGTAGTGAGGTCAGTCATTTCTACCACAAAAGGAATGTTGTCAGTGCCCTCTACATTTTTGTACCCTGGGACAAAGCGTTAGTTGCTCCATCCTAGTTATGGCCATGCATATATGTAGCTCAGTAATCACCCATAAACATTAGGCTAAAGAAATTCAAAACCCCTAAAAATGAACAGAAAGTGAGTGGAAGGGCAGCCCTGGTCTGAAAGCACTGAAGACAAATTTATAATTATGCTTCAAAGGGTCTTCTATCCCTTAAAAAACAGCCTAGAGTAATTTATAGTAGATGTCCAGTTATAATTTGAAATGTTTTTAAATGGAGTAAGGTACACTGAAGGTCTGATTGTACTCCCCAACAACACACAATAAAAATCCAACATAACACCCTTCGTTTGCAGTTCAGGTGTTTGTTCTGTACCCTGAAACCATTATAATGAGTATTTTCTGTATTTATGATAGAAATCCTTTAAAGTGTCCAAAATATTTATCCCTGGTTTTATCAAGCATTCTTTCTTCATCTTCACTGGGGGAAAAATCAGTTTTACAGTTCATATTTTTTTTTAAAGTGGGTTTGTTTCTCTGTTTACTTTCTGGATCCTGGGAAAGGACTCCAAATGTAAATGCCATAGGGCAAAGGTTGGCAATGTTTTATTCCAGGAGGGCCTACTGTAACCATTTTCAGCTTGATCTTTCCCCTTGGAGACGGCCTTCTAAGGCAGCATAATTCATTCTCTTGGCCTATGCAGACAGGAGGAGCTTCCTTTTCCCTTGATACCAGATTCTCTTGCTATCTGGGCAGACAGATGCCCTAGAGAGCCGGAGAGTTGTCCCCTAAAACTATATGTTCCCTGTATGTTTTCTGGCAAATGGTTGACAAATAAGCCTCCAATTCTTTTCCTACACAAAAAAACACAGGGACGCAAAGCAAGTATACCCTAGGGAAGTATAAATATACTTTTCAGCCTTCCCCTGACATGTTTTTCTACCATATCCACTCTCAGAATGCAGGGGTACCAACCACGTTTTTGTTTAGAAACTCTGCCACTGCACATAGGCCCAATGGCTGAGCTTGGTGGGAAGGCATTCTTCCTTGAAACTCATAGACAAAACATCTTCTCACAGCTCTCTGGCCCCTCTGAACGGTACCCTAGCCTTTATTTCCTAGTTTGGGGGCCAGGAAATGGGTTAGGCAATAGACAAAAATATGAAGATGGGCAAGGCCAAAATCAAATCAAGCATGATTACAGCTCAGCGTGGTCCTGATTGTCAGTTACTAAAACTAGGGAACAAATGTGGGGCAAGGCCTATATATAATATTAAGAGAACTGTTGTTTCTTTGTTTAACATGTCAGCTTATTAGTGAGACGGCAATAAGATGTAGTGAGATGTAACCCCAGCAGAGTGGGGTTAAAAGTGAGTATAGACAACCACTGGCTCTTATGGAATCAGGATAAAAAATTCAGAGCTGGAAGCTTTCAGGACTCTCTAGTCCAACTCCTTAAATTGACAGCATGATTTAAAAGGTAATTCCTCCAAATGCAACAAGCCTAGAAGTATCATGATCTGGTCCTACATTTCATTGGTCCCTCCATGACCTCACTGATTTTTCTTACTTTGACCTTGATTCTCTGTGATAGGGTTTCATTGCCAAGAGTCAAAGGCCAACTGAACATTTTTGATATTTGTAGAAGTCATATGCTCAGGTTTTAAACCAAAGGCCAGGAAGTATCCTTTGCCATGATGGTTTACTCTAATCATCATATTTGCTGGCAGCTAGGAATTGGGTGATGGGACCCTATCAAAGACATGACTATATTAGAATCTGCGGAATTATTTTAAAAGCAGGTAGCTAGACATAAAAAGTGAAGAGAGTTCACAGCTGCCCATAAGAATAACCAATTACCATGCTATAAGAGAGCATCAAGATGTTTACCTGATGCCAACAATTGGTAAATAGTTATGGTTGGTAGTCGATGTTAGTTGCAGGTGATTTTTGTGAGGATGGAGTTGAGTATGGGGAAGAGAGTAAGTTTGCAAAAGTGCACAGCATGATTGGTTAATTAAGTAAAGCAAATCCAGACAGCAGAGTTATGAGGCAGCATGTGAACAGAGGCGTGCTTTGGTTATGAATCTCTAGATCATTTAAGGTGAATTTTGGGTCTTTGGGTACAGTAACCTAGACGTTTCAGGCTGAGAGATGTATACAAGGGTACCAGCAGACCCAGAGTGTGTAAAGTATTTAAATTTGAGAGGAGGAAGTAGGACTGCTATAAAAATCTCACTAGTCAGGAATAAGATGATCTTCGAGGAAAAAATAACTCATTTGTACATAATAACACAATTCTAATTTCTTACAGATAAGTGAAAAGATGCTGAGAAATATCTTAAGAATAGTTCAGTATAGTCTGGGCAATGTACTGGGTTGCCAAGGGCACTGTTTGACAGTTGAAAGAGAATGGGATACTTTGTCCTGGCAGAAGGAGCATTTGAAAGAAAGAAAGGGGGGAAAGGGGATTACCACTTACCTGTTAGACTATTAAGCCGTTTTTGTTGCTCTGTAATAAAGGAAGAAAAAGCAAAAAGTGAGTGAAACACATGGTACATGAAAGGCAAAGAAGATCTGGTGACAAGTTATTTTGTTCTAAAACTCACCAGACTTTACTATCCTTTATTTTCAGATGCCAAAATGAAAAACAACCAAAAATGCCAAAGAAGGTTTTACAGGGGATAATAGTGAGGCTCAAGCTCTGACACCTATCTCCAATGTGTATTTATTAAGAACCTGCTATGTGCCAGGCACTATGCTAGTTGTTGGAAGCACAAAGATAAAATGAAAAACAACCCCTGCTCTCAAGAAGGCTCCATTTTATTAGCTAGATACTACTACAAAGGGGATTGATCAGGGGATTCACTGATCAATTTGCTGAGTCTCCCCTTAAATGGATGTGATAAGATTGTAGAGTATGGACCTTGCCGCAGTCACTTGAAGGGGATCTACCATGGAGGTGGATATTGGACATTGATGCCTTACAAATTGGGTTTCAGAGACAGAGGCTGCCTCCTGACGACCAGATGACTGAGGCTCAGGAGCATGGACTGCTACTGAAGGATAGTGCCTGGCATATAGTAGGTGCTTGATAAATGCTTCCTGACATGACTTCATGGAGGAGCTGCCCCCTTCACAGTCTATATGAGGGAGTTGGGATTACTATTTTCTTGTACTTTTTCCTTTGGATGTCCTTCCTGTAAGCAGAAAAGGATGACTTTCAGGAGAAGCACATAGTGACAGTCATGCGCTTGCCCAGGGAAGCCTGAGAGGGGAGTTTCTGGACATAGGCTTCCAGACTAGCTTCTTTTATCTTTCTGTTTCCTTTTATGAGGTCAGAGATAAATAATTCCAAGAACGGATATCTCCAGCCTTGGAGGTTACTTTGTAGGTAATCCCCAAGTTCATAAATTCCTGAGTTAGAGAACTTGGCCTCTCAGAAGGAAAAGTCTTCTTTAATAGCATATTTCTCAGAAAAAGGAGGCCCACTGACAGGCTGCTCCTGAAGCTGATATGCCATGAAGGGCCTGGAGATATGCACCATGCCAACCCTGAATAGGATTGCTGTAAATGCTTAGATGTTGCAAGTCAGAGGTGAATGGGAAATAGTTGTTCACCACTCCCACAAAGTATTTTCCTTCACCTTCCAGAAGTGTTTGAGCATTCTATATTTCTATGTGTATTCATGGGCTTCTATGAGTTCTTGGAGTCTTACACCGTTTCTTTAGTGTGGGAAGTAAAAAGCTGGCCCCTTACTTAATAGCTGAATTATAAAGTGAGTACCCTGACACCTACATTTGGGAAATCAAGATATGAATCATATCTAAGATGTATTTTAGAGATTTTACTGGAGAAATCCAGGTAGGGACATAAGAAACCAAGGAGTCAAACCGACCCCTCTTGGACCAGGTCCCCAGGAATAAAAGTCATCCACATGAACCCAGAGTCCTTTGGAGGGCCCTAGACCACTCTTTGAAGTATTCTAGGTACACATACAAGTAAGTATGCACATACAAGTGCTAAATTTTACCCCTTTACTAAAAAAATGCTAAATGCAAAAATTTGCCCCTTTGCTAAAAGATATCCCTTTGGAGTATTCTAGGTACAAGTAAGTGAACACAGAAATGCCAAACATCAGCTAAATTAGCTAAAAATGTTAAAGATTGCTAAAGTTGGAGCAACCATAAAAATAAATATAAAGCACATGCTAGATTGTAAACACTTTATCAACATTAAAAAAGCTTCCCACTTGCCTCTGCTCTCACGCCCATCATCAGCTGACCTGAAGTAAATAGTAATAATTTTAGGAAGCATCTATCTTGACGAGATTACCACTTGACAGTTATATTCTATTCAACCAACACTATGTTCCAGAGAGTCAACATCTTATAGTCGAAAAGGTACTAGATTTAGATTTTTAAAAAAATCAAATCTGAGTGTGAGTGCTAACTGCCACTAAACTGTGTGACCATGGAGCCAATCCCTTGACCTCTCTGAGCCTTGGTTTCACAAATTTTTAAAATGTGGAAAATTGTCTCTTCCCTACTCAGTGTCTTCCCACATTAGGGACTGTGGGAAGAACCAATGGGAAAGTGTTGATAACATGCTTTGGGGATAAAAATGTTGTTATTGTTGAGATAGAGATAGATAGGAGGCCGGCCAGGCAGGCAGGCAGATATCATTCTGCTTTGTGTGAAATGCCTTCAAAGAAGAAAATTTGGATGGTGTACAGTGTTTAAGACTGGAATTCAGAAACCCAGGATTCTAATCCAAGCTCTGGCATTGTTGTATGAACTTGGACAAGCCCTCTCCTGTCTCTGAGCCTCAGTGTCTCCCTCAGCAGAATAAAGGTGGAACCAGATGGTCTCAAAGGTCCAGTCCAGACGTAATGTTCTATAATTCTGTGATTATGAGAGCAAGCATTCCACGTGGCTATTTCTGTTCACTGGAAGCTTAGAACTGCTTTGTGAAATTCAGAGCAGAGGGGAGGCTCCGCTAGCACAGACAAAATGTTCATCCATTATGTACCAGCTGAGCTGAGTTACAAGGAACTCTTTCTATATGAGAGTTGAAAGAAGAGAAATCTCGCTTAGAAGGATTAAACTAGGTTTTGGAAAGTGGGGTAAAGATATTGCTTCAAGGGACACTTAAGAAATTGTGTCTATGAGTAGGGTGTGTGTGGCTGAGTAGCACTGCCAAGCTGGGCAGATTCCAAAGCAAAGCTAAGGACAGTCTACTGACTTAATCTCCATTTATGGTTTGTTTTTTAAAAGGCCTGAGGGTAGTGGTTCTCAAAATGGTTAATAACATAAAGTTGGGCCCCCAAATATTCTATATTCGATTAGACTGTGAGCTCCTTGAGGATAAGGGCTGTCTTTTGCCTTTTTTGTAGCACTAATGCTAAGCATAATGCCTGCCTAAGAGCAGGCACTTAAAAAATATTGATTGATTGGCTAATGTCCTCCTCAATTCTTCCTGCTCAATGAGTGTGTGACCTGAAGCAGCTAGGTGGCCATGTGGATAGAGTTCTGGACTCTGAGAATGGAAGATGTGAATTAAAATCCTCCCTCAGCTACTAGCTGTGTGACCCTGGGCCAGTCACTTAATCTCTGCCTGCCTCAGTTTCCTTCCCTGTAAAAATGGAGATAATAATAAGCTCCTACATCACAGAGTTGTGAGGATCACATGAGATAACAAATATAAAGTGTCTTTGCAAGACTTAAAGGCACTATATAAATGCTAGCTATTATTTTAGCACAGTGACTGGCACATGATGTTGTTGCTAGGTGGCACAGTGGATAGAATGCCAGGTCTGGAGTCTGGAAGACTCATCTTCCTGAGTTCAAATCGGGCCTCAGACACTTACTAGCCATGTGACCCTGGGCAAGTCACCTAACCCTGTTTGCCTCAGTTTCCTCATCTGTAAAATGAGTTGGTGAAGGAAATGGCAAACCACTCCAGTATCTTTGCCAAGAAAACCCCAAATGGGGTCACAAAGAGTCTGACATGACTGAAACAACAGAACAACAACAACAATGAACCACTAATAGATTCTGAAGAAACAGACTGGGATGTTTCTGCTTTTTTCTTGAGTTTTACATCTAGGCTCCAGGAGCAGGTCTCAGGCTATATCAAAATTCTGTTTTCACAGGTCATAGTCTCTTCTAGAATCTTGGCTTTGAGATGGAGACAGGAACCAAAGGGTGCCCGGGTGTGAAGACTGGAGGGTTTTACATATTTAAGGCAGAGCCAACAAATGACACAAGCAATATCGCTGTGACGGAATGGCTTCCTAATGTAAGTGAGGATGAGAACATTGGTGTGTCTGACTCACGACTCAATCGGCTACTTAAAAACATTCCTGAAGAAACTGCTTTCCCCTTTGGGTACTAACTTACTTCTCCTATCTGAGTTAGTTTAAATAAAGGAGAAAAGATAATTCAGAAAAATTCACAGGAAATTGCATGTTTCCTTTTCTTCAATAGCAACATTTCCAGCATGGAAGAAGGTGCTACTAGTAAGTATCAGGGGAACCTCTGGGAAAAGACTGGTTTATTGGACACTTTAGCATGGGGGTAAGGATCCTTTTTTTTCCCCTTGACCGTAACTGATAAACAAGAGGTGGGAAAAATCAACTAAGGGCCACCCTTAAGTAAAAAGCCATCTAATTTAAGGCTTTGTTGTTTCCACTTAAAAAAGAGAGAGACAAATATAAAATATTTGACCCAAGTTATTTTTAAATGGGGAACACAAAACACTAGTCAGTAAGTATAAGCAATAAAATAGATTTCTGCTTCACCTGTTAATATCACCTGTTAATAGATTCAGAGCTAGAAGCATCTTAGAGGCTATTGACTATGGCTCAGTGGATAGAGAATTGGGCCTGGAGTCAGGAAGATCTGAGTTCAAATCCAGCCTCAGATACTTACTAGCTGTATGATCCTGGGCAAGTCACTTAACCCTGTTTGCCTCAGTTTCCTCATCTGTAAAATGAGCTGGAGAAGGAAATGGCAAATCATTCCAGTATCTTTGACCCCTAAAGGGGTCATGAAGAGTCATACACAACTGAACAATAATAATAACAACTCTTAATTTCAAAGATGAGACACTGAGAGATTTCATGACTTGCTCAGAGTCACATAGCTGCACAGCTAATAAGTGGCTGAGGGAGACAATGGAGGGGGAAAGCAAGACCAACCTCAGACATGAATGTCCTGAATATTTGACACCAGAGGAAAGGATCACTGTCATTGAAATTCTGGTGAAATACACTTTCTGCACTGGCAAATAGCTAGTCTACCTGTCTTTTCAAATTCCAAGGTGTAGTTTGGAAAGAATTGTTTATTTTCCAAGGGAATTCTAAAGGGATGGCTTAGAAATATGCTTTGGAACCTTGGGGTTTGTTGGCTCTAATTATTGCTTCAGAGTTCCTTGGACATGCAAGAGTTGTCAAGGGCGTGGAAGGCTCTAGTTTAAGTAAAAATCTTATAAACTGCACCATTAAATATTTCCCAAAGGATTGCATCACGTTGTCTAGATGCCAATCAAATAGAAGAAGGGGCACTGAGAGCAAGCTTCTGACCTCTCCACAAACATCTAAGCTTTAAGGGAGGTTTTTTCCTATGAACAAGTTGTCAGTGTCTCGGGAGGGCTGGGAGGGCAGTAGTGGGAGGAAATAAGCATTTACGAAGTACCTGTTATGTGCCAGATGCTATGATAAGCCAATATTATTTGATCCTCACAACAACCCTAGGAGGTGAGTGCTATTATTATCCCCATTTTACAGTTGAGGGAAACTGATGCAGACAGTAAGTGACTTGCCCAGGGTCACACAGCTAGTATCTGAGGTAGGATTTGAACTCAGGTCTTCCTAACTCCAGGTAAGCACTCTATCTACCATGCCACTGAGCCACCTAGAAACAAATATTTTAATACTTTTTTTTTCCTAAATAAAGATAGTAAGGGCTGTCAGTGCCTCTCCTCAGATATGTCACTTAAAATTGCATCTGAAGCTTTGTGAGGTTTTGCAGGCCCTTGCTTAGAATCTTTTTACTTTTAGAAATAATTTGATCAAACTTAGTGATCTGGTTTCTCTGCCCACAGTAGATTAGAAGAAACATATTTTACAAGAGGGCTGGGGAGGCAGAAATACATGTATCAACACTAACAATAAGTGATAGCTATCAGCATGACCCGGAGAGAGGAGAAAAGAAAAACTACAGACACAATAATTCAGAAAGCACATTAAGCTATGGCCCTATAGTAGAAACAAAACCTCCTCTACACACAAGTACACGTCAGGCATCTCTGGGCACTCCGATAAAGCACAGCAAACAGCTATTCATACCGACAACTTCAAGTATCAAAAAAAGGTACATTTTTCCCATATGCTGCTTTCATATTGTGTTTTAAAAGCCTTGAAATGAAAATTATAGAAAGATTTTTACCCCAAATGGTTAAAGTGAAAACAAATTTCAAACTTAAAAACGGAACGTTTCAGTAACTTGCCAAATTCATTCAGGTGGAACATTTTATTCCCCAATAATACTACCCAAATGAGGCATTAGTCTTCTTAAATAGTCAAAGTATAGCTTGACATTAAGCTTGTTTAAGGATTAAAAGGTGGGGGGGCAGCTAGGTGGTGCAGTGGACAGAGCACCAGCCCTGGATTCAGGAGGACCTGAGTTCAAATCCGGCCTCAGACACACAACACTTACTAGCTGTGTGACCCTGGGCAAGTCACTTAACCCCATTGCCTAGCAAAAATAAAAAACAAAATAAAATTTAAAAAATACAATAAAATTAGCTGGAGAAACAGCAAAACTAAAAAAAAAAAAAAGGATTAAAAGCTGGGAAGTGGACACATTCAGACAGTTAAGGATCCCAGGAAGTGCTCTATCCACTGTCCCACCTATCTGCCCTACTTCTACTCCTTCTATCACTACTATTACAACTATTACTCCTACAACTACCACTGCTACTACTACTACCACTACTATTACTACAACTACCACTGCTACTATTACTACTACAACTACTACTACTATTTCTACAACTGTTACAACTATTACTACTACAACTACCACTGCTACTACTATTGTCACCACTACTATTACTACGACAACTACCACTGCCACTACTACTCCTATTATTACTACTACTCCTACAACAATTACTAGTATAACTATTTTAATACTACTACTAGTAATAATAATAATAGCTAGCATGTACATAGGGCTTTAAGGTTTGCAAAGCAAACAAATACTATCTCATTTTACCCTCACAACTACTTTAAGAGATAGGTACTACTATTATGCCCATTTTACAAATTTACAGATGAGGAAACTGAGGCAAAGACTTTTCACCATATTTGTTGCATTCTTCTATTTTATCTCCTGCTTATTAACATCCCTTTTAAGATGTGGTGACCGCAACTGAACACCACATATGTGGTCCAACCAGGGCACAGGATAGTGGGATTGTCACTTCCCTAGCCCTGGAAGCTAAGTCTCTCTTAACATAGCTTAAGGCTGTATTACTTTTTTTTTTGGCTGTCACATCACAACTTTGACTCTTCAGTCAATTGAAGCTTCAGGCCACTAAAACCTCCAGATGTTCACATGAACTGCTGTCCACCATGCCTTTCCTTGTTGAGTATTTGCGAAATTGATTTTTTTAAGCAAAGTGAAAGACTTTACATTTCTTCCTATCAAGTTTCATTTTGCTGGAATCAGCCTTGTGTTCTAATCTCTCAAGATCTCTTTGAATCCTGACTCTGACATCTCAATGGTCATCCTGACCATGCCATGTTAGATTCCATTCTTCCACTTGGAAGCATTCTTGAGTCTTGGAAACCAGTTAAAGAAAACCTCCTGAATTCTTCTGCATGTCTTTCAAAGGATAAAAAAGGTGGTTGGGCAGATTAGAAACAAGCATATAAACAATAACCACAGTAATAAATGACAGCTGACAGCATGGCCTCAAGAGAGGAGGAAGGAGAAACTACAGACACAATAATGCAAAAGCAAAGCTGACAACGGCCTGTTGAGATATAATCTAAAACAAACAGACCAATACGCACCAGGATGAGACCTTCCAATCAATTCCCAGCCCAGAGAACTTCATCTGATAATGTTTTCATTTACTACCCTTCTCCACCAGTCTCTTCTTCTGCTCATTCCTCTCCCGATTGCGTGTCCAATCAGAACCTTTCCCCGCCTGCCCCTATTTATCTGTGGATTCTGACCTAACACAGCAGAAAAAAGAGCAGTGGGCTGATAGCTGGCAGACCTGGGTTCATATCCCAGCTTTGCCCCCCTTCTACCTTGGCAGCCTTGCCAGGGACTTCTCCTTTGAACTTCAGTTTCCTCATCTGTAAAAGATGGAGACTGGACTGGATGTCCTCTTGGGGCTTCTTTCAGCTCTAAATCTACGATTAGACAGATACTTTTTCAATACTGATCCACTACCCTGTTTTATATGGGGAATAAGGAAAGCGAATAAGCATTTATAGAGCACCTACTATGTGCCAGGTACTGTGCAATTATCTCATTTGATTATTATCTCATAGAATAATTATCTTAATTGTTATCTCAAATTACTACCACCTAGGAGGCAGGTGCTGCTATTATCCCCATTTTATGGTTGAAGAAGCTGAGGCAGAGATTAAGTAGCTTATTCACAGTGTCTGAGGCCCTATTTGAAGTGAGGTCTTCCTGACTCCAGACCCAGTGCTCTATCCACTGTGCCATGTAGCTACGTCAGAGGTATACTCAGGGGTGTGCTGATAAATATTTAACAACCAGCTCTTGGGGGGGGAGTTTGGCCATAACAGAAGTTTTATCTGCATCATCAACATTTTCTCCATTACCTTGTTAAGACTATACAATCAACAAACAATAAATCAAGCCCTGATTTGCAGTATTTGGCAATTTCCAATACACAAATGCCCGAGATGAAAATTTAACAACTGGCTGTCACAAGCTAGGCTCCAGCTGGCTTCAGCACATTTCTGGGTATAATTATCTTCCATATCTTTTTTTCAGCTGATGACTCAGTGGCTCAGGATGACCTTTACTCAATCCCATTTTTTCTATCTATAAGCTATAGAGATAGGTATAATAATTGCTGGCATTTATACAGTGTCTTAAGGTTTGAAATGAGCCTTACAAATACATATTAACCTAGGGTGGTCAGGGTGCTTATTATTTCCCATTTGACAGATGAGAAAATTAAGGCAGACAGAGGTTAAGTGACTTGCCTAAGGTCATACAGCCAAAGTGTCCCAGGGTAAAATCTGAACTCAGGACTTCTTGACTCCAGCTCTACCATCACGCCACCTAGCTGCCTATTATTATCCTTGCATGTGGATGATTCCTTATTAAGTCTATTCCTTCTTCAGATGGACTGGGCCAGGGAGCCCAGAAATTCCCCCAACAAAAGTCGTGAAATGAATGGCCATCCTGCATCTCAGCCAAGATGAATGACATCTGACCAACCCCAGTGGTATTCATTAGTGAACATGGAATCATGAAACCTCAATGCCCTAAAGATGAAGAGCCACATTTTGCTCTGACCTTGAGGATATTTCTGGTTGGGTACCTATTATAAGATTGGGTACCTATAATAAGAACCCATTCTTCTCAATTCAATCTTAGCTCCCTGATGAGGATGATGGCTGTGCCTTAAAGTACAGCTCCCTCTAATTATATCGATTCCATAGGTACCTGAAATCACCTTGACAGCCATCTGAATTAGCACCGCTAACCTCAATCTATCTGAAGTAACACTGACTCACACAAAGAGAACCAGACTAGGAATCAGGAATATGGATTGGGAAGGGAAGGGAACAAGCATTTCTTAAGTGCCTACTGTCTGCTAGATTGGGGCAGTGAGGTGGCACAGTGGATAGAGTGCCGGGCCTGGAGTCAGGAAGACCTGAGTTCAAATCTGGTCTCAGACACGTACTGGCTATGTGACCTTGGACAAGTCACTTACCCCTGTTTGCCTCCCATTCTAGTATCTTTGCCAAGAAAACTCCTAAGAGGGTGACAAAGAGTTGGACACAACTGAAAAACGACTAAACAACAAGATGACAGGCACTGTGTACTTTACAACTATTATCTCATTTGATGCTCATAAATTCAAATGTTGGGAGGCGGGAGCTATTATTACCTTCATTTTACAGGTGAAGAAACTGAGGCAGACAGAGATTAAGTGACTTGCCCAAGGACATACATCTATAAGTGTCTGAAGCTGGTTTTGAATTCAGGTCTTCCTGACTCCAGGCCCAACACTATCTACTACACCACCTAGCTGTCTCTAATGGTCCTGGGGGCCATTTTTGCAAGAATAACTGACTGAATTTTTAAAAAAGAAAAGAAAAGCCTTGTCAAATTAATTTAGCATTGAAATTGAACAGTGTTAAAGAGCAGCTTCTGGAATAAGTCTAGGGGAAATGTTCCTTCGATTCCTAACCAAGGGACCGGTATTATATCAGCTATTTAAAAGTCAGTTTCTAATTGCTTATATTCATTCTTGAGATAAATACCCTAAACTGGGTCAAAAGCCATCATTCCCTCCTTAAACTTATTCTGCTATTCAATCTTGCTTTTGCTAATTCTACCTATATATATATATATATATATATATATATATATATATGGAACCGGAATGGAATGGAGAGATTATGAAGATAAGGAGGTTAAGATGCAGCAGGAGTTTCACCAACTCTATGATTAATTTTCTTAGGCCTAAAGAATTTTTAACAGTCCATTCATGCTGTCCTCTGGGAGAACCTTTCCCCTAAACTATAAATTAAGAGATTACAGAGAGGCTAAAGACAGTCTTTGCTGCCTCCATACTGGTGTGGAGAACTGGTCATCCCCTCCCTTGGTTTGACTAAGACTGCTGGGAATTAGAAATAAAAAATTCTGGTTTAAGAAGACAATACCATAAACAGAGCTCAGAAGAAGCCACTAACGGACTTAGAAAGTATTGATCTTTTCCCAAAACATCTTTTTTTTAACTGGATTATAAGAATGCCAATAGATAGCTTTGGGCTCAGCTATCCAAAATGTGTAACCCACTAACATAAATTACACACATAGTTGCCCATGATTCCAAAAGTGATTCCAAAAGTATCACAGATCACAAAATGTTAGATCTGTAAAAGACTTTGGAGATCACCCAGTCCCATCTCCTCATCTTGTAGATGATGAAATGATGGGCCAATGTCATGAAGTCACTTTCCCAAAGTCACAAAGTTAGTAAATGAGATAGTTGGGACTCAAATCCAGGTCTTCTGACCCCCCAAATTTATTGTTCTTTCTAGTGTGCTGAAGAGGCACATATCTCTAGGCAGTGTGGTTCAGTGGAAAGAATGATGGAATCAGGAAATCTGAGTTCAAAGTCTAGCTCCGGTATTCACTACCAGAATGAGAATAGGCAGGTCATAAACTAGTTTCTTCATCTATTAAAATGAAGGGGTTGGACCAAGGTCTTCTCCAGCTCTAAATTAAATGAAATAATATTTGTAAATTACAATAGTATAGTGCTTGGCACATAGTAGGTGTTTAATAAATGTTTATGACCTTTCTCTTTCCCTAAATCTATTATCTTTTGATCCACTGATATTTAGATATGTTATTTCATTTAACAATATAGTTGAATGATCTCCCCAGTTACTTGTATCCTGTAGATTCCAAGGTTCTCTCTGGGTAGACCTAGTAATTCAATTCCCTTTAAAACACTGGTTTAAATCGATAGAAGCTAAAAAAGAACCCAAGTTGATGATCTCAAATGGAAAGAAACCCCTTCCTCCTATGATGCTTATGCCATGGTTTCATTATCTCAAACTGGAACAGACCCAATAACTAGTTATTATCAGAAAGAGCTTCTTAGCACATTCTTCAATACATTAAAGGTGAATGATTTTGTCCATGTGAGTACTTGTTCCACTGAAACAATTAACCCACAACTCCCTCTGACGTCATAGACATCCTTCAAGAATATCTGTGAATTCAAAAGATTTTAAAAAAAAAAGCCATCACGTATAGCTAATCTGGTGGCTGTTTCTCCCCAAACTTGATTAAGCTAGTTCTTAGGTCAACTAAGGAACCCATCCTCAAACCTTTCCTCGCTTGACAGGACCTGGCAGAATGTGTGCTCCACTGAGCCTTTAAGACCCCAATAGCACATTCATGCCACAATAAAGCATCTGAGTAGAACTTTGGTAGAGCATCAGTTATACAAAAGTGGTTGCATTTGGTAGATATTTCCTTTCATGTCGATGGAGTATACAAATCACCCCATCCAACAAGTCAATTCCTTCTGCTACAAAGGGGAGCATTTGGTAGCAATTCATCCTGGAGGGCCCCTTTATATGCAGTTCTCAAAATAAGATAGTTTATTACGGTCATTCAGAGGTTCTTTTACAGGTGAGATGACTGAAGAATAATTCCTGCTTGAAATGTTCAGATCTGATATTTAATAGTTCTGCCGGTCCAGTCCAGGACCTCAAGGTACAGAAACTGAATCCCACATCTAGATGACCTAACTATGAGTAGATGGAGAGCAGATAAACTTATCCAGTACAGAAAGGGTACCTACACCCAGACTACTTTACCTTTACCCAGGTAGGTCCTGATTCTAATAGATGAAGCACAGGCATATCATACCATAGGCAATCAGTCCTGCTCAGAACTTGCAGGTTGGATTCTGGTGAACTGAGGATGCCAAGGTCCCTGAGCCCTTCTTATTGAGGCAGACAAGGGGAGATGGAATCTATTGTTAATGTGCCGGATCAAATATATATCCATGTTTTGGAGCATGTTCCAAGTTCCTTTTATGAGGCCTCCTCCACAAGAAAGTGGGTTGGCCCTCCATCTGGATGAGAGAACGATCCAGGCTCCTCATCTTCTTCCAACAGAATGTTAACTCTGCCTCCCATTCATCTGGTATCTAAAACATGTGGATTCCTCTTTAATCAGCACAGAATATCTACACTCAGAGTACTCCTCAGAGAGGTATTGCCTGTGATCCAACATTCATTTTAAAAGATGAGATTTGAAAGAAACAAGCCAATAGTCATGGTAATTCTTCATGAGAAGCAAAGCAGGTGGCACTGCGGCTAGAACATGGTATCTGGAGTCGGGAAGAACCGAGTTCAGATCTGTCCTCAGACACAAGCTATGTGACCTTGCGTAAGTCATCTACCCTCTGTCTGCCTCAGTTTCCTCAACTATAAAATTGTTGTTCACTTGTTTTTCAGTCATGTCCGAATCTTTGTGACCCCATTTAGGATTTTCTTCACAAAGACACTGAAGTGTTTGCCATTTCCTTCTCCAGCTCATTTTACAAATAAGGAAATGGAGGCAAATAGGGTTAAGTGACTTGCCCAGGGTAACACAGCTAGTAAGGGTCTGAAGTCAGATTTGAACTCAGGAAGTTGAGTCTTCCTGACTCCAGGCTTTGGCGATCTATCCACTGTGCCATCTAGCTGCCCTCAATTATAAAATACAAAATACAAGCATAAAATACTAAATTATACTATAACAACTCTAAACAATAAAATACTAAAATGCTAAAATAATAGCACCTACCTTACAGGATTGTTTTGAAGATCAAATGAAATAATATTTATAAAGTACTTAGCATGGTATCTGGTACACAGTAGGAATCCTATAAAGGCTAGCTATTATTAGCATTGTTGTTGTTGTTATTATTTATTGTCTGGCTCTCTAAGCTCTAAGCCTTGTATTAGTAAGATTATTAGAAAACAATTTACCCAAAACACACTCTCTCAGAGCCCCATAGAAGAACCTTTACTGAATGTTAATGTTAAGTCTTTGGCTTTTGTAGAAAGCCTATATGAAGTGTTCAGAGAATGTATATTTGGCTTTCACACAGCTATAGTTGAAGAATGGTTCCCCAGACATCTTCTCACCAACTGCCTTTCACCGGTCCCAGAAATGCCCAGAATACTTAACCCTTTTACATTTGCAACTCCAGCTCTGATCGCCCACTATCCTGATCAGTGGTAGCCTTAGTCACCTATTACATCCAGGTCTGGCTCCAGCCATGTTTTATTTCACTCTCCCATCATCTCTTCATCAACTTCATGACTATACACATGCAACTTCCTCCCCCCCCACCACCACTACCACCACCTTCCCAACATTCAATCTATACTGACATTGCTGCTGGATGAAAAGGTTGTGTTGATCTACTTCCTTCCCTGACCCCCCTCTTCTTCTATAAGTGTAGACTATCCCTATTAGGATTTAAGTCCTCAAGGGCAAGGATAGTCCTTATTTTTGTATTTGCATTCCTAAGACTTGGAACACAGAACGTGCCTGATAAATGCTTTTTCATTCATTCATTCATTCGTTATATAACTGTTTGTTATATAAGGTAACATGATAAATTCTTGCTTAAATTTAGTGCCACGAAAAACTCCCTCCAATAAATTTATATCCTTCATTTGTTCAGAAAACAAGAACTATATATAACCAAGTGTGTTCCCATTTTTTTTTGTTTTAGCTGCCAGCTGAATTCATAGGCATATAGAATTCAGAGCTAGGAGTAAAATTAGGGCTCATCTATTCCACCCTCCTAATTTTGCAGTGGCCAGCTATACTGATTAACTCTTCCTAAGAGCCTGGTAACATCCACATTCCTACTTGCAATAACTGATTGTCAACTCTTTTTATGTCTAATTGTACAATCATACACTGGATTGATATCCATAGAGCTACTTGCAATCCCTTTTTTTTAAATGTTTTATTGCTGCCTTTGGCATTTCAAAGAGGAAATAAAATCATTTCTCTTACCCAATTGAATCTTCCTTCGTAACCAAGGGAAACAAGCAAAAATATCTAATAAAAGTGACAGCAACTCGCAATGTATAGGACTTCCTGTCCTATCATCCCCCATCCCTCTGCCATAGAAGACAGGAGTAGGCTTCACTATCTATTCATCCAAAACAATCACTGGTTTCACAGTCACTCAGAGTTCTGTTTCCTTTTGGTGATCTTTTTATTCATATTGATTTAGACATTGTGTATTATGTTCTTTTGGTTTAGCTTTCTTATTGTGCCCTCATAATGCAAAACTTTCTATGCTTTTTGAATTTTTTATATCTGTCATTTCTTAAAACATAACAACATTCTATTATATTCATATACCACAGTTTGTTTGTTTTTGTTTGTTTTCAGGCATTCCCCAACTGATGGGCACCCACTTATTTCCTGTTCTTTACTGCCACAGTGTGTTGTTATGATGATCTGGGTGTATGTCAGATCTTTGTTTTTGTCTTTCACCTCCCTGAAATTATACACCCAATAATGAGGAAGCAGGATTAAAGGGCATGAACAGTTTAAGTACTTTTCTCATACAAATCCAAACTGACATACAGGTAAGGGATAAAGAAGGTCGGCTTTCAGGGGAGTTCTGAAGGCAACCAAGGAAACTTAGAAATAGAGGTAAGCAGGCAAAACATTCTAGGTATAAGGGACAGATAACACAAAGGCATAAAGATAGGGTGTAGAGTTATGTGTGAGGAAGAGCAAACAGGTCAGGATTTGTATTGGAGGACTGTAGAATCCATGGAGGCAGTACAGTGTAATAGGTCTGGAAAGGTCAGAAGGGGCCGGGTTATAAAGAGCCTCCAGTGCCAAAGAGAGGAGTTTATATTCGATCATGGAAGTAAGAAAATCACTGCAGTCTATTGGCTGGGAGGGGGTGGATGCGATACAGCCACACCTACACTTTTGAAAAATCCCTTTGGCAGCTGAGTGGAAGATGGACTGAAGTGGGGAAAGATCTGAAGCAGGAAGACCAGTTAGAAAGCTTTTGCAACAAACATGAAGTGAAAAGGGCCTGAGCCAGCATGGCAGCTGTGTGAGTAGACAGGAGTCCACTCGCCATCATTCTGTCATGGCTGCTTTATTCTTCTAGGAAGGCCATGGGAGCTAGCAGACAGTGTCAGGTAGCCACAGAGGAGGTGGAAATGCCAGTGCTAAAGAGGGAAAAGGCACTCATGGAGAGTATCATGGCAGGCAAGGAAGCCTCCCGGAAATCATTTGCATCAAACCAGCTGTAATTAAAATGAAGAGGCACAGTGTCATGCTTCCTTACCTCGATTGTGTTGCAGAAGCACAATAGTGGGATTAACGATGGTAGTGGAAGGGTAAGCAGATGAAGGCTTGCTGACTGGTGGGAAAATCTGGGAATCAGTCCCACCGCGGGGTGAAGAAACTTCATTTACCAGAGAATCTGCACCCTGTAAAGAAGAATGCATTTTAACTGCTGATAAAAGCATAAAATTGGGGCTGATACAAACAAACTTAAAGCCAGGAGTACTGTAGTTATAAAAAGAAATGCAGTAGCTGAAATAAGGAAACAGAGCATCTTGATTGCACACACGGCTCACTGTTAATTTCAATCAGAAACATACTAATATGATTGTTTTCCTTTTGTTTTATTAGTATGAAGAAAGTGATGACAGACCTGTAAGTTTAAGTTTTAGCAGACACGATTTTTACCTGTAAACAAGCCATGAATCCATCTAATTATTGGAAAAGGTCATCCAAATTCAGGGCAATATAACATGCAAAACTCATGCACTTTTGAATGGATAAATCCAGGGGCAAGAGCTGGCTTAGTGAGGGAAACCAAGAAAAGTTTAGTACTATCATGGAGAGAAACATAAGACAGAGTGACATCGACACATTGGCCCAAGAACGGGTGGCATATAACCAATGGCACCCCTTAGAAGGGCACCCCTGCCACATCATCCCTGAAAGACTTCTCTAGGGCTGTGTTCCAAGCTTTGGAAATTATCTAAGACTTCTGTCTCTTTTTATTGGCCTCAGAATTGCAGGGGGATGGATCTTGTTGATAAGAATCACATGAAAAAAACACACGAGCCATCCTGACCCAAATCTAGGTATGGTGGACACTGGCCTGCCTGGACTCCGGTAGAAAGAACTATTAAGTTAGTTTCCATCTAAGAATTGGTGTGGTGATAACAATAGATGAAGTTGGCCTTTTAAAAAGGAAATAAAAAAAAATTTTCAAAATGACTTAAATGGGATTTAGCTGCTTCCCTGGGTAAATAAATGCATAAATCTAACAAAGCTTTATAGGAAAAATCTGGAATATGCATCCCTAAGGTCAAAATATTGATCTTAAGGTAGTTTCAAAATAAAATTTTCAAAATGAATATGAGTTTAAAATAGGCTCCATTAAGATCTCAAGTAGACTGTGAGCTTGAAGACACAGACTATGTTTTATGTCTCTTTATATTCTCCACAGTGTCTGACACGGAGCTTACGACTAATATTGGTGCATAATAAATGAACAATAACTGACTAAATCCAGATTCATTGTGGCTTTTCCATCCCATAAATGAAGATGCTGCATTTTCATCCAGTATTTTTGGGCAGAGAACATCTACCTATGATTTTAAAAGATTATAAGCTGGCTTAATCATATTAGTTTGGAAAGGTTGGAAAGTCCAGGGGATAGAGCCCTGGCCCATGAACCTCAACCACTGACGCCATGATGTTGGCTCCTAATCCCTAGTCCTGATTTGTAATCTCTTGGTGGCTCAGTTTTTCCATCTGTAAAATGGAGGTCCTACTACCTGTCTCTGCCTATTTCTAAGAAGGGTAATATGGAAGAGATGATAGAGGGACATCTTTACAGGCAGGAGAACTTGAGGTCAAGTCTTCCCTCTGTGTAACCATGGGAAAATCCTTTAACCTCCCAGTGTTTCAGGAAACTCTCTAGGACTAAATTACAGAGGAGTTGTAGATTTGCATCAGTGAAGGAAGTTTCCACACAAGAAGAAACCTACATTCATGAAATCATAGTTCTCAGCATCGTCCCCCTCCCCCCCCAAAAAAAAAATACTGTGAAGATAAATATTTTATAAAAACACTTTAACTCCCAGCAGGACCTTCACATTCTGAGGCGACATGGCAAAGTGCAAAGAGGTACTAGGAGACTTGGGTTCTTGTGCCACCTGCTGCCACCTATTAGCAGTGAATCCTTGGGCACAGACAGTTTTTCTCTCTGAACCTCTGTTCCCTTACCTACAAAATGAGGAGGTTGGGGAAAACGTTTTGAGAGGGACCATGTACCTATTTATAAAAAGTATTGTATAAAAAAATAAAGGGCAGCTAAGTGGCACAAAGAATAGAGTGCTGGGCCCAGAGGCAGGAAGACTCATTTTCCCAAGTTCAAATCCAGCTTCAGACACACCTACTAGCTGTGTGACTCTAGATGAGTCATTTAACCCTGTTTGCCTCAGTTTCCTCATCTGTAAAATGATCCAGAAAATGAAATGGCAAACCACTCCAGTATCTGCCAAGAAAATCCCAAATGGGGTCACAAAGAGTTGGACGTGACTGAAAAACGACTGAACAACAATAAAAATTAGCACTTTTAAAGTACTTCCCTTGAAAACACAAAAAGAAAATGTCTAATATAGGGTTTAGGATTGATCCAAACCAATTATTTTGTCAATGTGGGGAACACAGTGTGGAACCTTCCTTCATGGATACAGACCAGCAACCTGTTTATAACTTAGAGGCTTATAGAGCTGCCTGGGGCACCAAGAAATAAAATGATTTATTCAAGGCAACACAGCCAGTATGTGTCAGAGTTGGGAGCTGAACCTAGGTTTTCCTCTCTCCAAGTCCAGCCTACCATCCACCCGCCCTGCCATATTACCTCTCAATCCACATGTCAGTATCAGAAATACTTTAAAATACCATAAAAGCAGTCTAGTCAACAATAGAAGGATGGATGGCATTTTAGTCAATGCATCTGTGTTCCAATTCGGCTCAGTATCCATGACAGACACAGTTGTGTGACCTTGGATAAGTCCCAACCTCTTTGGGCCTCAGTTTCTTCAAATGTAAAATGAGGTAGTTAGATTAGATGACCTCTAACATCCCTTCTCGCTCTAAATCTATGATCTTTTGATCATACGTACAAGTTGGGGGCGTAAGTTGTCAGGTGGCACAGTGTTAGACTTGGAATCAGGAAGACCTGAGTTTGAATCCTGCCTCAGGTACTTAATAGTTATGTGTCTCTGGATAAGTCACTTAAACTCCCAGCCTCAATTTCATCACAACCTTTACAGGGTTGTTGTAAGGATCAAAAGAAATACCATATGTATAGTGCCTTATAAACCTTAAGCAGCATACAAATGCTAGCTCATTTTATTATTATTTTTGTTGTGATGATAAGAATCAAATGAAACAATGCAGGTAAAGCTCACAGCATGATACCTTAAAGTGCTATATAAATTATTATTATTAAAGTTTTTATCCTTTAAAAACTATACAACTCACTACAAGATATCAGAATATCTTTGATCTATTAACACATGAGTTTATTCCTTCCTTCCTACTTAAAAATATTAAGTGAGAACAAAGATCCCACAGGATGGGCAGACATGGATGGATTGGAATCTGTGTATTTAGGAGGTATACCCACTTTAATGAGGTATACTGAAGGAAAAGAAGAAGACAAGAGTCCACTGGAGCTGGGTCACTACCTACTTATTGGGGAGACCCAAGCTGTTTTCCATTTAACCTTCTCATGAGGCCAAACCCAACAACATCCAGCACTACATGCCACTGACAATTCAAAGCCCAATTGTATCCAGGGGATATAGATAAACTTCTGAAATCAAGACCATCTCATTCTGGCCATACTCTATAATCACCAGAGTCCTCACTTTCAACAAACTGGATGGAAAAATTCAGACTTACACACAAGTAAGTCATGGTACAGCTAGCAAAAGGATTTGTGGTAGGATTCTATTCTATATCAAGCTCCCCTGGTGCATTTAAAATATGATACTATGACCAAAAACTTAACTCACACATAGCTAATGCTTCAGAAGTAAAAACTTTTGTGAAAAGTGAATTGTCCTTGTGGTCTCCAAAATGCATAGGACCGATTCCAATTATCCCCATGCAAGACTGGGGAGACAGGTTGGCATAGGCATCTTAATGCTTCACAGCCACCATGATATGCATGTTAATGTTGATCCTGCCCATCCTTCTCAATGCAGCTGACAAAGGATATTAGCTGGGCAGGGTAGATCCAGTTCATGAGTATTCTTTGATCTAATCATTACGCTGTATCAAAGACTCTGAAGGACCACTCTATTAGCAGAGGAATCTATGTAGCTGGCCGCCTTGACCTTTTTGCTTTGTTGAGATTTTTTTTTAATTGGGAAGTCACTACAATTTCCCTGATGTTCTGAATTTTCAAGTTTCCTTCCTGCTTTCTGCTAAAAAAAAAAATAGGGGAAATGGCATGACTAAACTTTAACTACTTAGGCTAATTTTATCACATAAAGCTTTTTCATTTTAAAGCCTTGTCAGCATTGAACATAATTTTCATGACTGCTTAATCACTTGATTAGATGACAGAAGGGACTTCTGCTTCAAGCTTCATTTTCCCATGGGATCATAGAACATCAGAGCCAAAAGAGACCCCAGAAGCAATCTCATCCAGCTCCCTCATTTTACAGAGGAGGGATTTAAGACCTAGGAGTTAAGTGACCTGCCTGAGGTGACACAGGCAGTAAGTGGCAAGTGTGACTAGAGCTCACTACAGTACCAGGTCTAGATTTTTGAATGTCATTTAGCCAGAGGAGGAGGAAGAGCCCAGCTTTGTCTTCATTCTAGTATCTCAGACATGATGGGAATCAACAGTACCACTCTAGTTGCCACAAACGGGCTGTGGAATGCTGCAGCTTCTATCCTTTCAAGTATGTAATTTTACCAGGCTGAAAGAGAGTTGGAAGTGAATTACCAGGATTCTTCTTGCTTTGAAAGGAATTTTATAAGCATGTGGAGTTCCTTTTGACTGTAGGGAATATCTGTACAGCTTCTGGAGAGGCCAAAAGGGATATCACGACTCCGTGAGTATAGGCAGACACTGTGCAGGGACATCATTTAATAAATCAATAGATCTTTGAGCTTATTCCTGTATCTGTATCCTTCACTCATGCAGGTGTTAATCCATCCGTGCCTTCTCATCCTGTTCAAGTTTTGCTGATGCTTTTCTATAGCCTCATTTTAACATGGCGAGTGACCCAGGGTTCTCTAACTAAGGCTATGATGCCAGAGGTGACTAAGTCATGACAGATTCTACCAGGTTTGAGAATGGTTTTGGTTATAGGCTAGATCTACTCTCCACAGCCTACCCAAGTGAAGACAGGCTTACTATTAAGCGGGTTGACCTCTAAGCAATTGCTCTTTTTGGCCAAAGTGCCACATGCTGGGAAAATTACACAGCTAAGGTGATGATCGCTATGTGTTCTTGTGTCCTCTGAGTGGAGTGGCACGGAAAGCGCCTTCCTTGGGCACTGGGGGATGGGAGCAGTAGCAATCCCTCAGTTCTACCTTTCTGGTAGGAAACGGAAGGTGAAGAATCCTGAAGGTCTCTGAATTCACAAACGAACAATGTCTGCTGAGCACTGATGCAGTGATAACTTAGGTATCTAGATCGACATGGGAGGGCCAGAGCTATGCTGGGGACCCTGAAGGGGCTCACAATTCCCAGGAACTCTGGGGAGCCAGCAAACCAAAGTATCCTCCCTCAAGCTTTCTTCTCTGACATACGCAATAGGATCATAGATGTAAAGCTAGAAGGGACCTAAAAGGCGATTGAGTTCAACTCCCCCCTCCTCAATTTTACAAATGAAGAAACTGAGGTCCAGAGGGTCCAAGTGACTTATCCAGAGTCATTTAGTTATTGTGTCTAAGGTGGGATTTGAACTCATGTCTCTCTAACTCTAAGTCCAGCTGACTCTATCAACTATACCATGCTATCACTGGAGTTGTTTTCTTGGCTGTAAAAAGGACAGACTCCTTCATGTATTCCCCAATGGATGAGACCAAAGGTGCCCTAACCCTCTACCTTAACCACTAGTCAATTTGCTTGTATAAAAATGAATTCCCGTAAGCTGTGTCCTAGCTATTTCCTACCTTCCTAGAGAACACATCCCTAAGATTTGTCCATTGCTTTCATATTCACCTATTGATTTAAACTCAATGCTCTCCTTGAATTCCTCCATTTTCCATTATCTTCCCCACTCAGCTGCTGCCATTTTTAAGTATCAAAGAAAGCTTATTTATAGGCTAAGTTAATACAAAAGTGAATCTATGTCTTGGTCATCCCAGCATACACTGATGTGCCTTTCTACCTTTGATAGGAATTGGCTCATCTTGGGCCAAATTCTTCTTCTTCTTTTTTTTTTCTTTTTGGCTAGGCAATGGGGTTAAGTGACTTGCCCAGGATCACACAGCTAGTAAGTGTTATGTGTCTGAGGCCACATTTGAACTCAGGTCCTCCTGAATCCAGGGCTTGTGCTCTATCCATTGCACCACCTAGCTGCCACAAACACATAGTTTTGTTTTTAGGCAACTGGGATTAAGTGACTTACCCAGGGTCACACAGCTAGTAAGTGCCAAGTGTTTGGTCTGAGGCCAGATTTGAACTCAGGTCTTCCTGACCTCAGGGCTGGTCCTCTATCCACTGCGCCACCTAGCTGCCCTCTGGCCAAATTCTTACCCCAGTCTCAATCACAGTATTTTTGTCTGACCTTCCATAGGGCAGTTAGGTGGTATAGTGGATACAGTGTCAGGCTTAGAGTCAGGAAGACTCATTTTCCTGAGTTCAAATCTAACCTCAGACACCTACTTGCACTGTGGGCAAGTCATTTAACCCTGTTTGCCTCAGTTTCCTCATCTGTAAAATGAGCTGGAAAAGGAATGACAAACTACTCCAATATCTTTGCCAAGAAAACCCCAAATGGGGTCACGAAGAGTCAGACACTATGGAACAACTATTGACTTCCCTAGAGTACAACCAGTCTCAATCAAAACAACAGACAGCAGCGGGGTATGGAGGAAAGAGCCAATGACTTGAGGGTAAAGAGAGATCCAGGTTCAGGTCTTTCCTCTGATACTTTCCGCTGTGTGAGCCTGGGCAAGTTCCCTTACCACTTGGGGCTGAATTTCCTCATCTGTAAAGTGAGGATGATAATAAGAGCATTTGCCTCACATGGCTGTTGTAAGGCCCAGGTGAGATAATGTAGGGAAAGCATTTTGTCAACCTTAAAGCACTAAAGAGCTATCATTAATTATTAGTCAAAAATCACTTATTAAGTGTCTGCTACATACCAGGCACTATACTATTTATCTCTGAGCTTTTGTTTCCTCCTCTTTAAAATGGGGATAATTGTACCTGTGTTTAGAAGTCAGTTAGATGGCACAGTGGATACAGTGCTGGGCTGGGAGTCAAGAAGACCCAAGTTCCAATCTAGCCTCAGACACTTATTAGCTGTGTGACCCTAGACAAGTCATTTCATCTGTTTGCTTTTGCTTCTTCAACTGTAAAATGGAGCTAATAATAGCACCTACCTCCCAAGGCTGTTGTGAGGATCAAACAAGATATTATTTATATTCACTTAGTATGGTGCCTGGCACATAGTAAGCACTATATAAGTGCTTTTTCTTTTCCTTCTCTTCCCCTTTGTGAGGATCAAGGATATAAAGGGCTTTATAAAGCTTAATCTGCACTCTAAATACTGGATATCTATTTTTTTATTTTATTTTACAGGAAGTCAGAGTTCTTTGAACTATAAATTCAGCTCAGGAAACAAGAGTTAAAAACATCTGGTTCTGAACATGACAAAGGAGAGAGACTTCAGAAGATAATCAACAGCCACAAGGTTCCAAGTGAACGAACACAGGAGACATGCACTCTAGGAAAAGCAAACAAGGCTTCAGTTGTCGGGCGAGCAGCGACAGCCAAGGCCTCCCCTTCAGAACGTAGCAGACCAGACCAGTGAGAGAGAGTTGTCTTACGGCCGGGAGGGTAAACTTAGGAAAGCCGTGAGGAGGGAACGTCGGCAAGCTTACTGTACTTGAGACAGCTCCAGGGAGGTCAGGCTTCGAGACTCTGTGCGGGGCCTCTGGGACTGGAGGGACCAGTGGAGGAGGTGGAGAGCACAGTGACGGTGCTGTCTGGCTAACAGGGGGCCCTGAGCCAGAAGGACTGGCTGGCTGCTGACGGTGGGATCGCCTCTGCAGACGAGGGGGAATGAAATCATCTAATGTCGGAAAGGTCAGAGGCGCGCCAGCGGAGGTGGTCGCTGGGAATGTGGCGACTCGGTCCAGGGCCACCAGAGGCGGTGGTGGTGTTCTGGATCTGCCTTCTTGCCCTTGGTCTGTGTTAACCAGGTACAGAGGGACTACTATAATCCCTGGCTGAGCTGTGTTGGAGGAAGTAGCGTCCTGTGGGAAATAAGGGTGTCGTTATGCAGAGGGGCCAGGCACAGGAGAAGGAATTCCATATTTACACAGTTGTGAAGTGACATGCAATGATGGGCCACCAGAAATATTTTATCAGTGCCCTTCAGCCGGGGTTCATGAGACAGTCAGTGCAAGCCAATAACTTTTGTTGGCATCCTCACACTGCATGACACAGAAGAAACTCCATCCAAGGTTACTTTCCATCCATCTATTTTTAATTTCCTTGAACTCTAAGGGAGTTAGAGAGAGAGCAAGAGAACAACAAATGGGCCATGTTTAACAACCCCACCAAGTGCTGATTCTGAGGGCCCCCACCCAGCCAGGCACAGACAGCTCAGTCGGTGAAGCAGTGGGCTCCTCCATCCCCTTGGAAAGCCTCAGTAACTTCATGTCTCCCCAACGTGGTATTAGACCGTGGATCAAACACCACACGCACACATTCACAGGGGGGAAATACTGTGCTGAGGTTTCTTAGATAGGAAAATTCATTCTTCAAGGTGCAGAAATGTTAACAATTAGAAGGGAAGCATGAGTCAGTTAGCTGCTTGCATCAGTTAGAAAGAAATAAAGAACAGATGTGGGAGGAGGGGAGGAAGCACAAACATTCCCATTTCCTTGCCTTGGCCGGATACCACCGTCGTGGAAAGCAACGTTCTTTTCTCTTCAGGGTCCCTTGGCCCGAAGGAATCTGGGCACTTAGCACAGGTGGTCTCACTGCTTCTGGGAGAGGAGACTCAGTCCCCAGAAGAGGACTTTCACCCTGGCTAACTGCATCACCACTGCTGATGGTGTTAAAGGACAGCTGGGGAGGATCGGGAAGAGGAGCAAGGCGTAACGGTTCAGCGCTAGGCAAGGAGGACACAGCGCCAAGAGCTGGTGCTCCAATGACCTGGTCTTCCAAAGGGTTGCTCTGGGTTTGGTCACATGCAAACCTAGGGGAGTTCTCAGATGCAGTGGGGCCGGTGTTGTTGGATAAACAAGCGACATATAAGCTGCTGACCTTTTTTTTATCCCTTCCTGCCTCGTGATGGGGATTAGAGCTCACATTAGGGCTATCTTCTGCCCTGGAAGCCTCCCAGGGGCTCTGGTATCGGGATGATGCATCAGGGTATGTGGAGCTCCTAGGCAAGAATGCCTGACTAGCATACGCTGTGACTCTGGGAGCTGTGCTGGCTACCTGGGAGGTGGGCACAGCTGGGGGAAAGGAGGGACGCTGCTGGAAAGAAGCACTCTGGGGCATGTAAGGCTTCGGTGAACTCAGGTACACACAGTCCTTGAAGGGCACTGGTGATGAGGAAACCTTAGCTTCAGCGTGTGGTCGCCATGCAAAGCTTTGCTCTTTTGGAAGAGGAGGGCATGGAGGTGAGGAAACCTTTAGGATCGGGTTCAAGATTAAATACAAAAATAAAAAATAAAGAGGGAAGGGTGGAAAGAATGAGGATGGTCATTAGAATGAGTAAGGGTTATTTTCTTTTCTTCCAGCATGACATTAGGAAAGCAAAGATCAGGGTAGCTTCGAGAAAAAAAAAACACAATTGCTCCCTTTTCTGGTCCTCTAATGCTAGTCTTGCCAAAAGTCAGACTCTTCTGTTCTTAGCCATACTCACCCAGGCATATTTGGGATGGTATCTTCTTGACCTTCACACAAAGTGGATTCTCAGAGGAGCATCCCCAAGGATGGACACACTCAATTAAGTTACTGAGTCCCTCACCAGATGGAGCTTGAATGGCCTACAATTTTCCTCAAGATATTCTTCAAAACCAAAGGCCCAAAGGGCCTGTATTTGGGATTAAAGGCCAATATAATGCATTTATTTTTCCTTATTTCTTCCACCACTCTCCCCACCACCACCACCACTCACTTAATACAATTAATTCTTTTCCTTGCAGGAGAATGGAAGCAATAGGCCCCAATCCAATTCACAGAAGATAGCTATCAATTTCTCCACTTGTATTCCACAGTTATAACTAAAGTCTACCAAGACGTGGACTCAAGGACTTCAATAATCTGGGATTTGATTTGTCAAAGACACCCCTATATCAATGAAAACAGCAATTTATCTGTAACTTTGCAGAGAAGAAGAAGAAATGAGGAAGGAAGGAGGGAAGGAAGGAAGGAAGGAAGGAGGGAAGGAAGGAAGGAAGGAAGGAAGGAAGGAAGGAAGGAAGGAAGGAAGGAAGGAAGGAAACAAGCATTTATTAAGTGCCTACTATATGCAGGCACTGCTAAGGACTTTACAAATATTATCTCATTTCATCCTCAGAACCACCTGGGCAAAGAAGGTGCTATTATTATCCCCATTTTATAGTTGAGGAAACTGAGGCAGGTAGCAGTTAAGTGACTTGCCCAGGGTCACACAGCTAGTAAGTGTTTGAGGCTCTTAGCTGCCTTAGAGAGTGGCATAAACTGAGTCTCAGAGAAGTTTAGTGATTTGCCCATGCACATACAGTGTCAGAGATTAGAATTTGAATCCAGGTTTTTCTAACTCCAAGTCCAGCAAGCTTAGGCAATGTGCAAAAACACCTCTCACAAAACTGAAAAGGAATCTCTTTTTTTACATGTGAACCCATTAATTAAGTCTGCATAGGATAGTCAGTGCTCCGATTCCACCGTACTTGGAGTTGGAGGGTCTAGGTGTGAATTCTGATGTGACCTTGGACAAATAACTCAGCCTCCCAGTTCTACTTTCTTCATCTGAACTGAGGATAATAATTTCTGCATCACCTACCATGTGGGGTGCCTTGGAAGGATCAAAGAGATAATACCTGAAACATTTCATAAACCACAAAAATCTATATAAATGTTACTACCAAACGTGGTATTGTTGTTCCTGTTAACGATAACAAGATCAATAATAATAACAAGAATAATGATGAAAGACAGACCTGAAATGAAGCACATGTGGTCTCCTTCTTGCCCAATGTCTTATAAAAAGGTCTAGGGGTGTTGGTGGCAATTTAATCAAACAGACAGGTGGGAGAAGGCTGTCCTGAAGTGACCATGGTCAACACCATGAGAATAGTTGAGGCTAGTGAGATCTAATTGGTCAATCAGAAATTTAAAAGGTATACCTGTGATATTCCCTACTTACTCTCTATACCACACCCAACAGTTCCTCATGGCTGTATGCATTAGACTCTGAAGTCACAGTGACTCAGAGGGGATCATTCGCCAATCAGCTCTCCATTGGTTTCCCACCTAGATATCCTGCTAGGAGGTCAGGAATCATTGCAGGAAGTATACTTCCTTTGGTTCTGGGCTGAAGGCCCCAGACTATGATCAAGGTGGCTGTAGGAAAATGTAGGCTCTTATCCCTCTTTTCAAGCCAGTCTCCTCTTCAAGAGGTATATTTTACCTTGGCCCAGGCTCACAGAAGGTCTGTGGTCAGAGTTCTTGGGCAAAGGGCCAGCAGAAAAGGTAAGAAATACAAGAAAAAAGGTTATATAAGCCTGGATTAGGCTACTGGCACAGCCTTTTAAAGTTCATAAAAACAGTAACAATTAGTGCTTGTAGAAGGGGAGCTAGAGAATGTTAAAGGAACTTCTGACAAGAAGAGAGGGTTTGGCTCATTTTTTATGGGTTTTGGTGCACATAACTACAAACAGTTCTCTCTAGGGTCATTATGACAGTGCAATGGCAGCTGTGGTCATCAATTCACGGCCACACGACAGGGATCACAAAACAAGCAGTTTCCCCCCATTACTCTATAAGAGCTGAGAGTCCTTGGTATAACTCTGCAAGCTCCACAAAATCAGGATGAAGTCTGGGGGAAGGTTTCCATGCTAAATAGGAAATGTCCAGGAATATAAAACTTGACTCCCATACAAAAAGGAATCCCTTTCTGCTCTCTGGGCTGGCCTAGGAAGGCTTCAGTGAGCTAGGGAGCAGGCGGTTTTTCTCCCGGCCTCGGTTTACTTTCATTTTAAGCTTGTTTCTCTCCACATGTGATTCCTTCTTGTCCAAAGATAGAAATCAGTTTCAGTGAGTGTTTAACTTAATTTGACCATGCCCATATATGGGCCTCAGGGATGCATTACATCAAGCAGTAAGCCTTCATAGCTCTTTGCTTCTTTAGAAAACACACTCCCCAGAGATCTGGATATGGTTGTCAGTGACTATTAAAGCCAATGGTCCTGTTTTATTGTACCATTAAAGAAGGAGGGAGAAGAAGGGGGTTAAGTAAAGCAGTGAAGGAGAGAAAGAGCCCCAAACTCAAAATGAGGAGGCATCGGCCGGAGATCTGCCTTGGGATTAGCTGCATGACAGCAAATTTGGGCAAATTATTTAGCCTTCCCAAGCCTCAGTACCATTTGTAAAATGAGAATAATAATATTGGCACCACATGCTTCACGGAATAATTGTGAAGATCAAATAGGTTGAATGTATTAAGGTGTTTTGAAACTGGAAAGGTGCACTTGCTCCCAACACACAACCAGCAGTTTTTAGGGTTGTGTAAATTAGACTAAAATCAGAATGAGTCATTCTGAGGGAATATGATCAACCAGTGGAACAGACAAGCAAAATTGACTAGGACAATCTCCTATCTTCCAGCCACTGCCTTGGCTGGGGATGAGAGAAGTGATGGGGTCCACGGGAAAAGAATGACTGGGTCAGCTCTGCAATCCTCTCTCCTGCCAGAGGACACACAACCTGGATAGCCAGGAAAATTGATACATTGGAACATCAGGGCACCAGAATTCTTCCATCTGACCCCATAATTTCCACGTCCCTATTTTACTCATATAAGGAGATAGGCAGGGGACAGAGAGTCTGGAGAGACCTGGAACAGCTTTAGAGGCTACACCCAGGATCCAGCAGGGGTCACCATCTTTTATTTGCCTCTTGTCTGGGTGTCAATAGCATCAAGGGGGGCAAGGAGTTCACTCCTACTTCAAAACAAACTGGTAGGAGAAGGATGGGAAGGAGAGAAAATAAATTGTTGTTAAAAAATAATTTTAAAAACACAAACTTGGAAAAAGATTTGTTACTCATCTCTCTCAAGTCTGTATTTTCAGAAATTACTGAGTCTATTGGCAGCATGTCTATTAATAATAATATTAATTAGTCTAAATAATCATTAGATATTAGTTACCAATAAATCTATTAATAAAACCAATGATTTCTTTACAGATGAGTGGGTAGCAAAATAAATCTAGAATAGTAATATCAAGTAATAAAATACTGTAATAGTAGAAGAGCCACCCAATATGCAAATGAATCAAGAAATTTAATTAACTCTCCACTTCCTAAGCAGATCTGTGTTAGGCCAACCATTCACTTTTGGTCTCTTGAGATAACTTGTCTGGTGCAGCTGCTTATGACGCCAAAGGGCACTATTAGCATTCATGAGCTGTCTTTTTGGGTATTAAGGTAATTATTAAGGCTTGTGTGTGTGCATGTATGTGTACGTGTATGTATGAGTACATATGCGGCGTGTAAATTCTATGTAGATTATAGTATCATTTCCGCAGTGTAGATATGGCCATTGTTATCTGGGTGTGAGCTCACTGAGATGAGACAGCACATACTTTCAGGGCTGATAGGAATCTAAGTGATTATTTAGTCTAAACCCCTTTGTATGAGAAAACAGGGGTTCAAAGAAGGGAGCTGACTATCTGATGATATACTGAGAACTTTACCCATTGGGTAAACATCTATATATTTAACTTCTCATGTCACTTCAACTGCCTGAGTCTCAGTTTGCTCACTTGTACAATATGGTAGTTCTATTAAATTATCTCTTGGGGCCTTTCAAACCCCAACAGTCCATGAATCGATCATTCTTAACACAATGATACCTATAGAGATTCAGCAGTAAGTCTATGATTCTTAACAATGGCATGCCAGGAAGTAATTTTCTATCATCTCAACTGTATAAATAGATAGTATTGAGTGGCAAGCAATTTTAAGAATTCCAGAGCATGTTGGCATGCATTGCCAGCACATGATAGGCACTCAATAAATACTCATTGATTGGTTAATTTCAACAGCTAATCCATGCAGACAGAAAGGAAGAAGGAGATGGTCATTCCACCTATTTCAACTCAGAGGCACCAAGGAAGTGGCCAAACTCTCATCACTATGAAGAGGAGAGAAAGACATCCCAGATTTCTCCCACTTGATGCAGAAGGCTTGTTCATTTCATTTCCTCAGAAGCAGAGTAAAGAACAATAGCATTGACTTACTTGGGATGCTCAACACCACTTGGCAGGGATGTGGGAGAGTGCTCTAAGAAATATTTTCAGTTCTCTAAAGCTCTTAGGCAGCATGATTCAGTGAAGGGAAGGCTGAACTTGGAGTCAGGAAGACCTAAGCTGAACTCCTACCTCCTACATGTACTGACTATTGGACTAAGGGAAAGACACTTAACCCTTCAGTGTCCCTTGAAACTCTCTAAAACCATGAGTTCCAGAGGAGTTGCCTATCTGTGTCAGTGAAGGGAATTTCCACACATTGCAGTTCTCCCAAACCAATGAAATCAGAGGTCCAGAATCCCCCTCAGTGTACTTATTATCTGTGTTGCTGTGTAATTAGGGTAATCTGTGTTAGCATCATACCCTCCTACTAGACTATAAACTCCTTGAGAGCAGGTTCTTGTCTCATATAAACTTCATTATGCCACCATCACCTAAAATGATGCTCTACTCACTGCAGATATTTAATAAATATATTATTTGTAGATTGCCTCTAATTTGTAGATGACCTCTGACCAACCTTCACAAGTTCTGAGAGATGGGCAACCCCATCTCACCCAAGTTTACAGAACTAAAGCAACTCCCCAGAGGAGAGGAACTCAAGAAAAAAACCTGCCAAGTTTCCAGGTGGTGGACAATATATATTGAGCACCCCTTGTGTGAACTTGTCTGTGTCCTCGAGGGGAAAGAAAAGAAAAAGAAAGCAGGGGTCTGTCAAGGAGCTTGCAGAGGGGAACGGAGTTATTCAGAAAAAGGGTGAGATGAGCTCAGAGCTGTCTAGCCCCTCTTGACAGCTGTTGCACACCCTCTACCCACTTTGCTGCCATACTGGCTGGAAGTTTGCAAGCACAGCTTCCATTTGGAGAAGTAACATCAGGCATCTAGGTGGTACAGTGGAGAAAGAGATGGAATTGGAATCAGGAAAATCCTACCTCAGATTACTTAGTAGTTGTGGGATGCTGAGCAAATTATTTAACTTCCCTCAGCCTCAGTTAACTCATCTATAAAATGGGAATAATCATAACAGCGCCTACCTTCAAGGGCTGTTATGAGGATTAAATGAAATGATGTAAATAAAGTGCCTTGCAAACCTTAAAGTGCTATGTAAATGCTACATACCGTCATTATCATCATCATCATCATTCTTAATAACATATTACAAATGTGGAGGTTATACCCAGAAATGGGTTCTGCCTTTCTTTCTTCGTCAAGGATTGCTCATGTGTTCAATCAATCAGTAAACATTTACTAAGCACCTACTATGTGCCAGGCACTGTGCTTAGTGGTGGGGATGCAAAAATAAACAAAAGACAGTCCCTGCCCTCAAGGAGCTTACAATCTAATGGGGGAGACAAGAAACATGCAAAGAAATATAGACAAAGAAAGCTATATACAGGATAAATAGGAGGTAATTAAGAGAAGGAAGGCCCTGGAATTAAGAGGGGTTAGGGAAGGCTTCTTGCAGGAGGTAGGCTTTTTCAGCTGGCAAGGGTGGGGAGAGAAAGAACAGGAAGAAGCTTGAGGGAGCCAAGTCCTAGCATAATTATTACCATTCCTTATTAGTTAAAGCTTAAACTTTTCAAACATCATCATTTTCTAGATCAAATGAGACAATATTTGTAAAGTGCTTAGCACAGTGCCTGGAATAGGTGGAACAGAAATGCCAATTCCCTTCCCCTCCTCCATTGTAGATAGAAACCGTGGCTGGGATTGTCTACCTATAGTGCTAATTCTTACTTCTCACTGACCCCAATCACTGAGCAGTGAGAGAGCAGGGAGACTGCACAGAAAGCCAGCAGATGCCCAGACCCTGATCTGAGGAAGTGGGGTGGGGGGGATCCATGGGAACTCCAACCGCAGCTTCTACTTAGCTCCAGTCCTCATAAAGCCTTTCACAATTGGGCTCCAACCTCTCCAGATTGAGAACCCCTCCTTTACACACTCCTCATTCTGGCCAAACTGGTCTATTTACTGTTGTTCCCCGGACATAACATTCCATCCCCGACCTCCACGCCTTTGCCTGTTGCCCTCTCTCAGATCTCCACGCTTGGAACACCGTCCCTCCTCCTCTCTCCCTTGTAGAAACTCTAGCTCCCTTTCAAGACAGCTCATGGCATCTCCTCCACCAGGCCTTTGCTGATTACCCAGTTGTTAATGCTTCCCCTCCTGGCAATTACTTTGCCTTTATTTCGTATGTGAGTCATAGTTACTTAGCTGAGCACAGGTTGTTTTCTCCAAGTAGAATGTAAGTTCTTTGAAGGTAGGAACTATTTCTCTTCTTTTCTTTCCTTTTTTTCTTCCTCTTTTTTCCCCTTTCTTTGTATCCCTAGTACATAGTGCCTAGCACATAATAAATGTCAGTTGACTAACTGACTGATTTGAACCTTAGACAATTAACAGTGATCGCAAAACTACCACTCATGTAAATATAGGCACTGATAAAATTAAAAATGAGCTTGAATTATTTTCCCCATTTGCTTTGAAACAGTTTTTTAAAATATTCTCTTCCAGAACTTTTTTCCAAGCATCAAAAAACTTTGGGACATCAAAGGAACCAGGATGGCACATTTCAAATCCCCATGTATACATAAGCGAACCCCACCATTAGATAACTATTCAACCCTCACTTCTCTTTAGCCCCTCACTCTTTTCTTGGAGAGAGTTTCCATCAGCCCAGAAGCTTACATTAGGACCTATCCAATTGAGGCAGCTGTGCCTCTAAACCCAAGGCACAGAACAGTGCCCTTTGTCAGCTCTGCACCCAGGCCTCAGACACATGCCTGCCTACCTGTGACTTGTTGTCAGAAGGAAGGTTGGGATGCACACTTCGGTAGCCCTTGGCAGCCAGGGAAGAAGGCTGGGCATTTCCGTTGGTATCCGCGTTAGAGGACAGTCTCCACTCATCTACAAGATGAAAGAGTACTCCAGGTCACCAAGAATTCTCCCTGGTTCCCGAGGGCTTTTCCATAGGCACTAGTGGAATGCAATAAGACAGGTAATTCAAAAGCAAGCTTACCTGTGGGGAAATTTTCTGGCTCCAGACCTAAGAGGTATCACAGAGAGGGATGAAAGAAGAACAAGAAAAACAAAACAAAACAAAAAACAAAAAAACAAAAAGAAAAAAGCAAATGGTTATGTTTGCAGGAAACCAGCATATACTGCGACCAAGGGAGAAACCCCAGCTTCCTGATTTCAAACACAAAATGCCTTCAGTCAGGATGGCCTAATTACCATAGGAACGAGCTCTAGCCATGATGTGCTCAGTGTCTCTGACCTTTGAAAACACAAGGCTCACATTCATAGCAATGAAGAAACAATTGTCCCTTGACATTCCTCTTCTGCAGACAAAAAAGCAACAGAACTCTCTTCTCCAGAGGCACAATTCACTCACTCACATTTCCCCTCTTGAAGCCTGATGTTAGTAAAAGAAAGAACCCTCCTAATTCTAATTAACACTACTCAGCTAACATTTCAAATTCACAGAACTGTATCAAACAGATATGTGGTTTTGGGGGGTTTTTTTGTTTGTTTTAAAGAGGATGTAGTGAGTGATTGGGAAGGGAGAAACAAAAAATTGGAGCTCAGTGGAATCTGAAGTGTTAAAGAACCTCTTTTCCCACCTTATTTTTCCTTATTTTTAACTAGCCTAAAAAAATAGATCCTCAAATCTGGCTGCCCTACTATTGTTTCCATCACACTTTAAGTCACCCCATCTCTCTGTGATAATATACTACTACACGAATCTTTCTTGTCCATCCCCCATCTCTTCTTACAAATTCTGGACCTCTTCTATTTACATCACCCAGCTACCTCTTTTCTAATTGCCAATAATACTTATGAGGTCAAATTTGTGGATATTACACGGCAAGGAAGGATAGCTAATTCAATAAGTGTTAGAAAAAGGATCCAAAAAAATCTAATCAATCGAGACTTTACAAGGATAGGCTGATTCTAATAAGAAGAAATTGTTTAGGAATTAATGGGGAGTCTTCACTTGGATTCAAAAATCAAATGCACAAGTACAGAATAAGGATGATATGGGTAGACAATATTTGACACAAAAAAGATCTGAGGGACTTAATGGAATGGAAGCTCAGTGAGTTAAGAGAGTGATATGGCAAGCCAAGGAACTAATATCACCTTGGGCCATATTAACAGAAATACAGATGAGGTTATAGCTCTGCTGTATTCTAACTGGTCGGCCAAGAATAGAAGGAATGCAGAAAACTGGGGAAAAAAGACTTTCATAGATTATTTCTCAGGATGGGACTGGGTTGAAATATTCCTGTGGTGTAGGAGCTGGTTGACTTAGAAAAACATGGAATGACTCGGATTTATGAAGGAAGATGCTATTCGCCTTCAGAGAAACAGATGACAAGTGGAAATAAGCATAGTATAGTCTTACATATATGTGTATGAGTGTATATGTGTGTGTTTATAGACACTTATGCATATGTGTGTATATATATCCATGCTCAATTTTAGCCTTCTTTGGGGTGGGGGAGGGAGGGAGGAAAAAAAAATAATAAAAGTGCACAGCAAAGAAAAAAAGAAAACATACATGGAAGCAAAGAAAAGACAGGCAGCTTTGAAAGCAATGTGTAGCATTTATTATACAGGTTTTCTTGAAATGGAAATTTATTGTTTTACATTGAATCCTCTCTTATATTCTGCTGTATACATGACAATGTTTTTGTTTTCTTAGTTTGTATTTAAGTTTAAAACAAATAAAAAATTTACACAAAAAAGAGAAAATTATATACAACAAAGGCATGAGTGACTGTAGAAATAAAGATCCTGCTAATATAAATATAATATACAGGTTTAAAAAACTGAAAAAGGGGGATGTCATGGTCAGGCCTGTGTTTTAAGAAAAACACTTTGGCAGCTACATGAGGCCTGCGTTGAATTGATGAGAGACTTGAGTAAGGGCTAGCCTTCTTATAATAGTCCGGGCAAGAGGCAATGAGGGTCTGAACTAAGATAGTGGCTGTGGGAGTAACAAGAATATCACATTAAAAGAGAGGTGCTAGGAAGATAGAAACGCCAAAGTTTTGCAACTGATTCAGTATATGAGGATGAGTAAGAGTGAGGGGTCAAGAATGATACAGAAGCTGTGAACCTAGGTGGCTGGGAGGACAGCAGTGCCCTCAGAAATAATAGGGAAGTCTAGAAGAGGGGAAAGTTGGAGAGGGGCGATAACGAGTTCTACTTCACATATGTAGAGTTTGAGACACCTGCATGATATCCAGTTTAAAATAAACAATACACAGTGATGCTCAGGAAAGAGACATAGGCTAGAAAAAAAGATACGGGAATCATCTGCAGGATGGTAATAATTGAACCCATGGGAGCTGACAAGATTACCAGCTATAGACAGGAAAAAAAAAAAAGAGGGCCCAAGATGGACCCTGGAGAGACAACCCCAGGTGTAGGGTTGTCATGGACGGAGAAGGATTAAAAAGGATCCGTCAGACAGACAGAAGGAAAAAAAGGAAGGAGCAGTATCAAGAAAACCCAGAGAGAAGACAGCACCCAATTGAAAGGGATCACTGGCTACAGCAGAGAGATAAAGCAGCACGAGAAAAGGAGGAATTAGTTTATTTTACTTAGTCCTAGAGGGTTAGAAAGAGAAGCAATAAGGGGAAGGCACAGAAAGGAAGATTTCGGCTAGACTTTTAAGTTGTGTGCGTGGTTTTTCGTTTTCTGGTTTTTTTTTTCTAAGGAAAAAAAGTTATAACAATTAAAATAGTTTAAAAGTTAAATAGGCTGCCTTGGGAGGTAGGAAGCTCCCCATTTCTGAGAGTATTCAAATGGAGACTAGAAGTTCACATTTGGGGTATGTTGTAGAGGTGAGGCCTGGTCAGGTGCGGGTTGGACGAGATAATCTCAGAGATTCTGTTACAAGTGAATATCTGCCCTACCTACCTCAGATGAGGTCATTTATGTGAAACTGCTCTGCGTGGCCTAAAGTGTTAGACAAACAACAGGTTATTATTATTAGTCTCTTGTCTATCTATCTTTGTTACTTCCATGCTCTGCTTTATGACGTCTATCCCGTTCCCAAACAGATGAACAGAAGAAATATTGCTGCTGGTACTCCACACCTCCTCTGTGTGCAACTTGGAGCCCAAAGGGGCTAGAAGACCCCCGAGAACGGGCTTCCAGGGGAACTGGAATATGTGGGAAATTAAGCAATAAATAAACACTCAGGGAAAGTAAAAAGACACCCTCTTGTTAGGGCAAGAAGGGAATGGAAGTATGGGGAGAAAGGGATGACATGAAGGGTAAGAGAAAAAGATAAGCCCATGTTCTATTAAACTTAAGAGAGGTATATTAGAAAGTCAAAATTAGTCTTGAGTGTTGAAAGGCGGCCAAAAATCCATGAATTTTAGCTTATTTCCTCCTTTCAAAAGTCAATGATGTAGTGACTTAGTTAACAATGTGTTTTATATCTGACTGATTTCTCAATTATGACAATGTCACCATGAGCAACTAAAGCAGAACCTCAGCTACCCAGAATTTTGGAGAAGGCACCATTCTAAATAACAGTTTTCTGGATAACAAGAGTGTTTTTTAAAAATCATTAAACCATCAAAAAAAATTTGTTTGTATTTAAATAATTTTGAATGAAAATCTTTCCAAAATGCGGTACACAGAGCATCAAAGACTCCCAGAATCTCAGTTAGATGGGACTCAAAGGGAATCTAGCCCAATCCATCCCCTCACAAGAACCTTGTCTTCAACAACACAGCCAACGAGTGATCGTCCAGCTCTTGTCTGAAGACTACTGGTCAGAGGGAATCCATGACCACATCAGAACTGTTCTCATTGTTAGGAGGGTCTTCCTTACATTGAGCCATCTGCCTCTCTACGATTTCCACCCATTGTTCCTAATTTTATCCTCTGCCTTCTTCAACTAAGCATGCTAAATGCAACATAACCTTTTCCTGATGACTCAGGATTACCATGTTGAATATCAATTATTATACTGCACAAGAATGCCTTCAGGGTGCTTGCCCCACATGTAAACTAGCTCCAAAAGGCTGGACGTTAAAAAGGTTTTGTGTTAGATTTTATGGGGAAGAGGAGGCAGGTCAAAGATACTATCACTATTTGCTATTGTCAGTGTGCCTGCCTTGGGGGGGGGAGTGCACTTCTACTCTGCAGAAAACTACACTTTTAAAGACTTAGCTACTAAATTACAGATGAGCTGTGATCAGTGTCAGTCAACTTGAATTTCTTTTTCTTTTTCTTTTTTTTTGGCAAGGTAATTGGGGTTGAGTGATTTGCCCAGGGTCACACAGCTAGTATCATTCAACTTGCATTTATTAAGTGCCTATTATGTGCCAGGCATGGTAGAGTTCTAATTATGATGAAATCACTGATGTTCAATCTATTGATACAATGATGTATTATTCTAACATCATGGATTATCTCCCAAGTAGAGCTTAATATTTGTGTGATGCTGGCAATTCACTTTGTTTCTCCGGCCCTTACACTTTGCTCATCTATAAAATGGAGGTAATATTACTTGCAGCACTTACCAACCCTCCCAGGACTCTTTTGAAGTTCAAATGAGATAGAAGTAAAGCATTTTGCAAACCTTAAAGCACTTTGTAAATATGAGTTATTATTGCAGTTATCACCATAAAATACAAGGGGAAGAAATCTTGATCACAAGGATTTTTCCAGTGGGAAAAATGTATGAAGTTGATGCTTCTATGGTTTCCAAATAGCACCTTCCTTATAATTATTTTCCAGACCATAAGATCCCGAAGATCTCTTAAAATTTTCTCCCCATTCTTACTCTTCAAGGTGAGCACATCATGTTGACTTACAAACTTTTCCACTGTTTGCTAAAGATTTCATTGTTTCCAGTTATTTTATGTCCTTCTCTCTTTGAGGGCCTTTGTCACCAAGGGCCATTCTGAGGTAATCTGTGACTACGTTCCACGAGCACAAAATAAAAACGAAGATGCCTTACTTCTGGAGAGTGCTTCCTACTGTACAAAGTGTTTTTTCATACACTATGTCATTTGA